TCTGGGGAGTTCCACACCATACATTTAAAGCGCATGCCTTCCACCAAAGAATCCTGGGAACTGTAGCCCCCCAATCTACAATTCCCAGCACCCTTAACAAACTACAGTTCCCTGGATAGGGGAAGTCATCTGCTTTAAATGTGTGTTGGATGTGCTTTAAATGTACTGTTTGGATCGGCCTTCTGTCTTGAGAGGGGCAGGCTGTTACAACCCTTTTAAACACTCTTGGAAAACTCAATGTGAATTAATGTGCACTAGTGGCACTTCTAATGGGAGAAAACTTTTTGCTATTTTTAAATTAAACATAGCTTTTGACACACGTTAAAAAAATCACATACCTTGGCAAAGTTTAATTACTCTTTAATAGTTTACCTTTATATACCACTTCTCTAAGTAATTCATTTTAACAGCTCTGTTGATAATTACTAGTACCAGACACTTACCTTACATTGAAGGTGAAAGAAAACCTGTTCACTCTTGTTTGTCTTACTTATGTCTTTTGCAAGACCATTCAACAGTTGCATACTTTACACAAATCTCATACATTATCTGAGGAGAAAGGTCCATTTCTTGACACAATTGGTTTATTCCTCACAAGGTTTAGATAGCATTTATCTTTAAATGAGCTGCAGTCTTTTGCAAGTTCATCTGATATGTTAACAACCCGTATTGCACTTCAGTAAATATTGTACTTCAGCAAATATTGTACAATTCACAACAATAAAGGCAAAAATAAAGTCAGTCAACAGACATGATCATTAACATGTTTTTGTCCTGCATACACACACAGCTGCAATCTTATTAGTTCAGAAGGAACAAATCATGAGCAGGAGTATATAAATGGATAAAAATTAATTGTTCCAGAAGGGAAAGGAAGGGAAAGAATAAGTGGTCAATGAGATGTAACACACACTTGCACTCTTTGTAAGTCAGAAGAATCCTCAAGAGCATGGGTAGGCAAACTAAGGCCCGGGGGTCAGATCCGGCCCAATCGCCTTCTAAATCCAGCCTGTGGACAGTCCGGGAAACAGCGTATTTTTACTGTACATGAGTAGAATGTGTCCTTTTATTTAAAATGTATCTCTGGGTTATTTGTGGGGCCTGCCTGGTGTTTTTACATGAGTGGAACGTATGCTTTTATTTAAAATGCATCTCTGGGTTATTTGTGGGGCATAGGAATTTGTTCATTATTTTTTCCCCAAAATATAGTCTGGCCCCCGACAAGGTCTAAGGGACAGTGGACCAGCCCCCTGCTGAAAAAGTTTGCTGACCCCTGCTCAAGAGGCTGTCATTTTTGAGCAAGGGAATTAGGTAACTGAGAAAAAGGACTGCTTAACCCTTTCACCAGCTATTTTACTGTTCACAACCATTCCCCACACAGGGGGGAAATGAGTACTTGCCAGTGTACTATGAGAGGCTTCAGACCTTCAAATAGTCTAGGCTTTCCCCAACCTGGTGTTTTCTATATATTGTTGATGGCATAAATAGGCTGAAATAGGCCAGGGCAGACTGGATGAAACTTCCTAGCACTGACCTCAAGATGGAATCAGAGGCATGGGTAGGATGAACCAATGCTACACAATGAAAATCCTAATATATTATGACTTTAACGTCTAATATAATGTTTACAATGTGACTAATCTTTTCAATTCTTTTAAAAATCACTCTTGTGGAATGCCACCTTCCTGAGAAGTCTCTGTTCTCAGCACATTTAGGACTATGACCTTCACCCTACCACCACCTAGACCACTCAGAATCAATGAAGATGGCGTATATAGTCTAAGACCGGGGAGAGGGGAGTTCAAATCGTCTTTCAGTCATGAAGCTTCCTGGAAGTCCTTGAGCAAGTCACTGTCTCTCAGACTAACCTGTCATTCTGTGGATAAATGGGGTGGGGGATGGGCAAACCATATACATCAGGCATGTCCAAAGTCCGTTTCGGTGGTCAGTTTAATCCGGCCCCTGTGGCAGTTTATTTCCCAGGGCAAAACAACTTCAATCCTAAAAAAAGGTCAGCAACATTGGTTGGCCCTTTGGTTGGCCCCCACAGCCCTCACTTCATCAAATCTGGCCCTCTTTGCAAAAAGTTTGGACACCACTGATATATATCACCTCAAGCTCCTTGGACATAAATAGTTTGTGCTACTGAGAAGGTGAAAACCAGCACTTTTGACAAATGATTTAAAGTCTCTCTCTGTTTTGTTGGACTATAACCCCTCCTGAGCTGAGCATACAGTACATAGGAAACAGTGGTCAAGAAACTGACACAATAGCACTGTATATTGTCAGCCTCCACCTCAGTGCAATTAAATAAAGCCAACATTGTTGGACTACAAGCTCCCATCATCCCTACTGGCTATGCTGACTGGGGCTGATGGTAGTTAGAGCCCATCAAGATCTGGAAGAAGGACCACAGGGTTCCCTCCCTGGAGAGTGGAGGATAGCTTGAACTGCCTGCATTGTGCTATGGTCCAGAGGCTACCTGAAGGCATCTCTGCTTAAGATGTTGTTTAGATTGCATATACACAGGCAGAGAAGCACAGATGCACAAACATGTGTACACCCACACCCACAATGAACATAATAAATCTACTGTTTAAATCTACCTATTGCTTACCACAAGAGATTTTGGTACAAAGGAGCAAATGCTCTGGAAAGAGTTAATTATTTCATACACTGAAAATTATGTCTATGTATGCAAGATGTCAAGCAAGAATAAACATAAACCAGTTAAAATCAATTAAATAGAAACCACTTAAGCAAGGTTAATTACTGGGAGGGGAACATCTGTAGGCACACAGCCATCAAGCTGGCTGTTCTTATCAAAATGTTCTAAATATTTTAAATACTAATGTAAAGTATTCGTCAGGGCAACCTGAGCACAATTAAGATGTTTTGACTGCTGTCAGTGAAACAGAAACAGTGTAGTTTTGCTGCCACCTCCTGATACATTTCAGAAGCACAGGTTCCATACTAATATATAACTTTTTAAAATAGAATGATAAATTAGATTAAAATGGAAGGAAAATTCTTTAAGAGTTTCTAGTTACTGATATATCAAAATGATTGAATGAAAGTTGAAGATGGCGTGACAGATCTTTAGAGCTAACTTTGTAACTCTGGTCCCACCTGAATGCATGTGGAGCAATGAATATAAACTGATAAAATTATCAGTAAGGTAAAGGTAAAGGGACCCCTGACCATTAGGTCCAGTCGTGGCCGACTCTGGGGTTGTGGTGCTCATCTCGCTTTATTGGCCGAGGGAGCCGGCGTACAGCTTCCGGGTCATGTGGCCAGCATGACTAAGCCGCTTCTGGCAAACCAGAGCAGCGCATGGAAACGCCGTTTACCTTCCCGCTGGAGCGGTACCTATTTATCCACTTGCACTTTGATGTGCTTTCGAACTGCTAGGTTGGCAGGAGCAGGGACCGAGCAACGGGAGCTCACCCCATTGCGGGGATTCGAACTGCCGACCTTCTGATCTGCAAGTCCTAGGTTCTGTGGTTTAACCCACAGCACCACCCGCGTCCCTCAAAGGTGTTTACTTTATGGCAAATTCAGAAAATCCCTAAATTCACTAATGGTTCCTCGTCACCCCACTTGTCACTGGAAAAAAGTGACAAGTGGGATGCCACACGGTTCTGTTCTGGACTAGTTGTTGTTTAAAATCTTTATAAACCACTTAGATGAAGGAATTGAGGGGATGCTTAACAAATTTGTTGATGCCACTGTACTGGCAGGGAGAGCTGATGCCGCAGAAGACAGAATCAGGATTCAAGATGACCTTAACAGGTTGGAGAACTGGGTTGAAACTAACAAAATGAATTTCAATAGGGATACATGTAAGGTTCTGCACTTAGGCAGGAATAACCAGCTGCATCAATATAAGATGGGGAACACCAGGCTTGCCAGTACATGTGAAAGGGATCTAGGGGACTTGGTGGACCACAAGCTTAACATGAATCAACAGTGTGATGCAGCAGTTAAAATAAAATAAAAGAGCTAATGCTATCCTAGGCTGCATCAACTGAAATATAGTGTCTAGGTCAAGCAAAGTAATAGTACGACTTTATTCTGCCTTGGTCAGACCACACCTGGAATACTGTGTCCTGTTCTGGGCACCACAGTTTAAGATGGATAATGACAAGCTGAAGTGTGTGCAGAGGAGGGTGACCAAGATGCTCAAGGGACAGGAAACCTAGACTTGTGAGGAGTGGTTGAAGGATCTGGGTAGAAGCATAGAAAAGAGGAGACTGACAGGACATATGATAACCACCTTCAAATATCAAATGGGCTGTCACATAGAGGATGGAGAAAGCTTGTTTTCTCCTGCTTCAGTGGGGAGGACCTAAACCAATCACTTCAAGTTACAAGAAAGGAGATTCCGACTAAACACCAGGAAGAATTTTCTGACAGTAAGAGCTGTTAAAGACAGGGGGGCAGTCTCCCACGGAAGGTGATGGACTCTCCATCCTTGGAGGTTTTTAAGCTGAGGTTGGGTGACCATCTGTCATGGATGCTTTAGCTGAGATTCCTGCATTGCAGCCGGGGGCTGGACTAGATGACCCTTGGGTCCCTTCCAACTCTACGACCGTATCATAAAGAAGCAAGAGATTTCTATTTCACAAACTCATGGTTTATTGTTTCACGTGAACAATGCTAAATTATCTCTATCTGAAAGTGATGGGGGAGTATATATATATGCAGTCTCTTTGTATTCCTGCATTGCAGGGGGTTGGACTAGATGACATTTGGAGTCCCCTCCCTCGTTCTATGAAAAACGTAGTAGGGCGAGACATTTTATCAGGCTGACCAGAATACCGAGCATGGCTTTTGAACCCTTCTGAGTTTTCAGGGGAGGGGGGGCGAGGTTGCGTAAACACCGTACATTTAAACCACATTCCCACCCATTCAAGAATCCTGGGAGCTGCTGCTGCACTGGGTTCAGGTGCGTCGGCCGCTCTCTGAGGGACTAAACTACAGTCCCCAGGATGCCTTGGGAGAAAGACCAGCCTCGAATGCATGGACGGCATCGGCCATGCTGGCGCTTTACTGCAGGGGGAGCCGCGCGGCCTCCTTTGCCTGCTCCGCTCGCCTCTCTTGCCTCTTGCCGGAGGTGGCAGCTCCTCGCCGGCGAGTGGGAGGGCCCTTTCGCGGCTGCGGCGGCGGCGGCGGAGCTCCAGCCCGCCTGTCTTCGGCTGAAGGGGAAGCCGAGCGGCGCCTCGCCCCACCGGGCCCCTCCTCTTCCTGCACGCCGCCCCATTGCCGCCCGCTCCGCCACGGCGCCTGCCTTTCCCCGCAACCCGCCGCCGCCGCCAGCAGCAGCATGCAGCTTTTCCAGTACCCCGAGGTGTACCGCGAAGAGACATCCGTGAGTAGCTCCCTGACCCCCATCTCCCGCCCCCGGAGCCCCCCCAGCAGTCCCGGGCAGCTCCCGTCTCTGGGGCAGCTCCCGGGACCCGGGGGCTTCCTGCCTCCTCGCTTCCTCCTCGGCCACCGGCGACCCGGTGTGGAAAGGCTTCCCGCATCTATCACACCCTGCGGGCTTTCCCCGTCAAGCCTGATGCGGAAATAGATGTGTTTGAAGGGATGGGTGCAGGTGTGATGCAGGGCCGTGTCCTTTGCACACCCATCCACACGCCAGTCTTTCTAACCTGGCCGGTTTGGTCTCAAACCACCGGTGTCGTTTATCTCCTGCCTCTCTCCACTACTTGAGGGTGTGGGGATTGCTGGGGACGGCCGCCGGGGGTTATTTCGGCAGGTGTGGGCATGCCTGGAGAGGATCGGGGGCCACTTTTGCCACCCAACGACACAGTGTGAGCTGCAGAAGTTTAATGTTGGCACATATTTTTGTCTTGCACAATCTACGAGCCCCAAAAACAAGCACCTGTTGCTCAAGCAGGAAGACATAATTTCCTCAAATCAGATTGGCCAGTAACCAGATTGGCTTGCCTGTATCTGCCCTGTAAATAGCTTTGTGCAGCACGGTGGCTCTCCACTGGGGGTGTGCAGTGGGCTGGGTTAGAATAATAAAATTACAGAACTTTAGAGGTGGAAGGGATGGTTGTGCAGCTGGGGCTGGTGTATGGATAGTGCCGCTTGGGAATTCTGAAAATCAATCCATATATAAAACTCTAAAAGAAACAGATGGTGTTTCCTTGCACCAGAAGAGAAAGGACGTAACCCACACTTCCTCTTGTCCTGCTGTCCTGCTGCTCCCCCCCCCCCCCGCCCCACTGGTGAAAACCACACTTCAGCGCTCAATCAGAGTAAATGGCAGTTTGGGTTTTTGTTCAGGTTTTCCCTTGGAAAGGAGCAGGGCAAGGGGAAAACCACTCCAATCTGTGCCTAGAAAGCGTGGGGCAATCAGGAAACTGCTCGGACACATGCTTTCTAGGCATGGCACAAGCAGAAGTGTGGATGAGCCCTGAATTAGAGCAGGTGTTGGAAGCTGTGACCCTCAAGATGAATATTTTGTCACAAGTCCTGTCATTCCTGACCATTTGCCTTGCTGGCTGGGACTGATGGGAGTTGGATCTTGCAGACCAAAGATTCTCAGCCCTGGTCTAGAGAAACTACCTCTTAATTCTTTGTAGCACACGTTCTATTAATTTGGGAGCTTCCGCTCCCAGTTTACCATGTTCTTGTAGTTTTGTGCTGAAAATCTTAACTGGAAGGTTGACAAACAATACCTGTTAACAGCTTTACTTTTCCATGATATGGAAAAAGTAGTGCCTTGTATGAAGCAAAACAAAAATGATAAAATAACCAAATAATTTGACAATTATAGATTTAATTGTACTCCCCATTTCTTAAAATCCGTGACTTTGTTCCAATTATAACATTCTCAGGCTAATAGGCTACAGAAAACAATACTTTTAATCAAATATTTCGTTAGGCAGAGAAGGGTCAAGCTTGCTCTGCCCTGTGCTGGTAAATAAACATTCCAAATTACTTTTGTAAATAAAATTTCTGGTATTGTTCAGAAGTCCCTCCCAGAGTTTTAAGTAGAATTTCACAAGCAACAAAAGAACTTCCAGCCATACTGCAGTCTTTTATAACCTGTTAGCAGAATGTTGCTCATTTCTTTAGGCTCTCTGTGTTTAAATTTACAGCTAGATATATCTTCCCTCACTGAAGTACTAGCTTTTAATATGATGGAAGTTGGGAGTCCAATCTGGAGAGCCACATGTATAGGCTTTGCATGAAGGACGTTCTCCCAAGTTCAGGTGCTGACATCTTCACCAAAAACATGAGTGGTTAACCACTTGGTCTCCAGATATTGCTCAACTCCAACTCCCATGAGGATGATTGAAATTTTGGTCCAGCAACATTTGGAGTCCCCATCCCTGCCTAATGTCCTTTCAGACTGCTATGACACCTGAATCCTTCTAGTGCTTGCTGTTTAGTGCTATCGCACCAAACCAAGAGCACAAGCATTTTCCCTTGCAGATGCACCCAGCAAGTGTGACTCATTTCTGGAATTAGAAATCCCTGAACATGCCTACTGTGTTGAGAGCATAATAGGCAGCTAGTTAGGGAGTACATCCCAAGAGACACCTGTGGCTTCAGTACAGTGGTGCCTCGCAAGACGAAATTAATCCGTTCCGCGAGTCTCTTCGTCTTGCGGTTTTTTCGTCTTGCGAAGCACGGCTATTAGCGGCTTAGTGGCTATTAACGGCTTAGCGGCTTTAAGAAAAAGGAAACAAACTCACAAGAACTCGCAAGACGTTTCGTCTTGCAAAGCAAGCCCATAGGGAAATTCGTCTTGCGGAACAACTCAAAAAACGGAAAACTCTTTCGTCTTGCGCAGCATTCGTCTTGCGAGGTACCACTGTATAGCGATTGCAGAAGTCCTATCTTGGGGTTTTGTTCCAAACTGCTGTTGTGTTTTTAGAAGCCATTAATAGTACAGTGGACCCTTGGGTTACGTTACCTTCGGGTAACGTAACTTTTGGGTTGTGAAAGTGGCACCTCTAGATGCGGACTTTTCAGGTACGTACAGAGCCCCGGAAGAAATTAAGTTCATATCCAGAGGGTCCACTGTATTGATCTCCATTTCCCATCTTTTTCCCATGCCAAGTTATAATCAGTGGCTGAGAGTTCTCTCTTTTGTTAATAAAAACAGAAGGTCCAAAACTACATCGGCATATAAATTCTCTGGGTTGGTTATGCTCGATTAACTTCATTTGTTTGGAAGAGGCTATTATTCTGCTGTAAGGCAGCTTGATGAAATTAGTTGCCTATTGCATCCTCCAGTTTTCAGCAGTGTATTAAGCTATAATAACTTATTTAATGCCACTCATAAAGTGATTGTAAAGCAATCTTTTAAAAAACAAATCTCTCTCTGTATATTTTAAAATCAGGTGGACGACTATCATGGCTGTAAAATATGTGATCCATACAGCTGGCTTGAAGATCCTGATAGTGAGCAAACAAAGGTAAGCCTTTCTTGTAATTCTGGACATCATGGGGCAAATGCCTTTGCAGTGTAGAGGTGCATTTTTCACTCTATAAGATGCACCCGACCATAAGACGCACCTAGTTTTTAGGGGAGGAAAACAAGAAATAAGAAGCCTCCTGAGCGAAGAGGGAGCGCTCCTCCCTCTTCGCTCAGGAGGCTTTGCGGGGCTATCCTCAGGAGGCTCTTGAGGACTTTTCTGGGAAGTGGGGGAAGGAGCCTCATGCTCTGTCCCTTCCCCCACCTCCCGCAGAAGCCAGGGATAGCTGCACAAAGCCTCCGCAGGGCAGCGGGATGAAGGCTCCCCGCTGCCCTGCGGAGGCTTCGTGCGGCTAAGCCAGAAGCTAGAACAGCGAGAGGGAGCGCTGCACAGCGCTCCCTCTCACTGTTCTGGCTTCTGGGATAGCCCGCGAAGCCTGCATTCGCTCCATAAGATGCGCACACATTTCCCCTTACTTTTAGGAGGGGGAAGGTGTGTCTTACAGAGCGAAAAATACAGTACTGTTCAAATGTGATACTAGTCTCAGGTAAAACATCAGTTCAGGCAAAAACTAGTTTTCTGCTAATGATCATCTTACACCAGAAAGGTTTGTGTTTGTAGGAAGTCTACAGGCAATTGCTGTGATTGGAGTACAGTGGTACCTCGGGTTACAGATGCTTCAGGTTACAGACTCTGCTAACCCAGAAATAGTACCTCAGGTGAACTTTGATTCAGGATGAGAACAGATATCGCGCGGCGGCAGCGGGAGGCCCCCTTAGCTGAAGTGGTACCTCAGGTTAAGAATGGACCTCCAGAACGAATTATGTTCTTAACCCGAGGTACCACTGTAGTGTTTTTTGTTAGTTGTGCAGTGTAGAAATGTTTGAATGACCCAAGTCCCTGGTTCAGTACCCGTAGTCTTTACAGTGGGATAGCTTCCCTAGACTCTATGTCTCACAGCTCATGGTCAGAGCACAAGCATTGGATGCAGTGGTCTTGGGTTCGGTGCCTTGGAGCTTTGGCTGAAAAGATGGGATGGGACTGAAAGTCTCAGTGATGGAGCACATGCTTTGCTTGTAGAAGGCACCAGGTTCCATTCACTACATCTCCATTTAAAAATACTAGGGGAGGATCAAATGTCATTGAGAGAGCAAAGGTCCTAGGTCCAATCCCTGGTATCTCCAGGTAGAACTGGAAAAGATTTATCTGAAACCCTGGAGAGCCACTCCCAGTCAGTGTAGGCAATACTGAACTAGACTCGGTGGAACAGTGGTATGACTCAATGGCCATATTCACATGTAGCGAGAGTGCTCAAGATACAGTTTGTTTCAGCCTTAATGTGCAAATGTTTCATGTTGGTACATGTAGTCTGAGCTCTTGCACTTTGCTCCCCTCTGCAGGGAAACAAACCATGGAGCAATTGGTTTAGTGTTGTTTCTGAACCAGAGTTTGTAGCTTGTTTCTCTCTCTAAACAAGGGACAATCTGAAATCTAGGTTTCTTTGTGGGTGCTGTGGTTAAAACGAAGCATACTTTCTGGCTTGCTGTTACATCCAGTAACATCCATGTTACATATTGATCTGTATAAGCTGTGACACTGTTATGTAGAATTGGGCTTGGTGTTTCTTTTATGATCACTTGTGGGCATGGCTGAAGGGTGAGATTTTTGGCTTGGAAGATGCAGTGGCTTCAGCTGAGCAGTTGTATGCCCCCTAGAGGCTTCTGCATGCGGTGACTTTACAAACTTCTTAAAGAAAGGACCTTGCTCAGGATTCATGTCGGTTTATAGAAGGTGGGAGCTGCCTGGGTCAAATGTGTCAAATTTTGTGCATGCGTTGGAAAACAGAGAGGAAGTTTACACGAGTAAGTGACAAAGTTGGCACGTGCATGATCTTCACAAGTAAATGATATTTAAAATATACTAAGGTATATTTTATATAAGTACAAGTATATAATATATAAGTATATTTATAAGTACAAGCCATAGACAGGATACTTACAAAGCAGTGCAGATGTAGTAGCTTTAATCATTTAGCAACAGTTAAGATATTTGGGTGTGAGCTTGTGGACATTACCCCCCACCTTACCATTGTCACCTCTCCAGTGCAAATTCTCTTTCCCTTTCTATACAGCCTTAGCTGTGATTTAGTATTGCATCTGCACCAGCATGAACCAATACTGTTCTCATAATCTGGGTTTGAACAGCATTTGCAAACCTTTAAGGAGAAAGCTTGTTAGGATTAACCATACAAACAATACTAAACAATGGATAATGCTGGGAATGTCACACTGGACAGGGGAGAAGCCTAAGTCTTCATACCCAAGCTCTTAAGAGGTTGGCCCCATTATGTCTCAACCAGGCTCAAGTATGTTTTGATTAATTTCAAGGATAGGTAGAGTGCATTTGTGAGAGGGGATGTTAATCACCTTGAATCAAAATATTTCTGTGAACCTTGTACTCTTGGTGTGCAATGTGCTTAAACTGAACCCTGATACACTTCATTGCTTATATTAAAAGTATCAAACATCTGGCTGTTCATTATTTTCAGTTCACAGGTTCACATGCGTTTTGTGACTCATTATTGCAGAAAATTGTTTGAAATTTACCTTTATGACTTTATTTGAGGCCTTGAACTGGAGCAGTAATACTGTTCTCTCTGGTGAGCTGTTAAAAGAAATTGATTTTGTTTAATGCTATGGAGTAGTTTGCAGAAAGTGCCCATTTGTTTTATCAGAGCTAATAGATTATGTCCCCTTCTGGTCCTTTTATTCTCTGTTTCTCTTTGCTAAATTTATAGCTAATTTTTTATTATTAAATTTCTATACAGTACAACCCTTCATCCAAGGATCATAGGACGGTTTACAATATAAAAACACAAAAATATGTAACATAATAGCAAACAAAACAATACCCACCTTGCCCCACTTTAAAGACCATAGGTTGTTTAATTAGCCAAAGCCTGGGAGAAGAGGAGAATGTTTTCCCCTGACATCTAAAGATAATGTAATGAAGGCACCAGGTGAACCTCTCTGGGGAGAGCATTCCGCAAACTAGAATCTGCTTGTACTGATGCAAACCAGCATTCACTCACTTGGGACTAAGCCTTATTACATTCAGCAGAACTTACTTCTGAGTAAATTTTCATCGGAATGGCCTTTCTATCCTGTTGGCATACACGGGATCAGCCTGCACAAAAGCTATAACCCAGCCTTGCTATAGAGATTCTTGCAATCTTTTCACCAACAGTTATGTTGGCTCATTTATTAAGCCATCCATTTATACATCCATTTCTACCATTCAAACAGCAGTAATCTGCCTTCGCATTAATCTTGGAACTAAAGTGCTTCACTTTACTGTTCATATATCGCTTCAGTGGTGGCTGAACTGTTTGTCTTCATGGCATCTTGGCAATTTTGTTTAAACACCAAATGAGAGAGTTTGCATTTAGATCAAAGAGACCCATAAAGCTCATCAGGACTCATACCTGTGATGACCTGCTTTTTTGACTTGTTCAGCCAGGGTGTGGTGACCAAGTGGTAAAATAGTTACCTCTTTCTGTGTTTGAATGTATGAAGTGGTTTCATCCAAAAGCTGCTTGAGAGAATCCTTTGATGACCTGCAAAGCAAGTTGGCAGACTGTAGACTTCTCTCTCAGGAAGAATCCATCTCAAAAGTTACCCTCCCCCTTTTAATGCAGGATGCTGAAATTAAAAGTCAGTAATAGGTTGACTGGACAGATTGCTATCATGTTTTGAATATTAGAAAGCCACTTCAGTTATCATGTTATTATGTGCCATTGCCACTTAATGAAACGAGCAGCAGCATTCCTGAAATAATGTCTGTGGTATGCTCAGTTCTACTCTAAGACTGTTATGAAGTTGCATCCAAATCATTGCACTCTCTAGACCAGCGGGGGGGGGGGGATCTGTGACCCTCCAGATGTTGTACTCCCAACCTGTGATCATGGGCTATTCCGCCTTTGTCTGATCAGGTAGTTGAGAGTCCAACAACATCTGCCGGTTCATCAGCTTCCCATCCCTGATCTAGGTCAATACAAACTGTTGCTTTATAAAGCCCTTGTTTTATTTCATTATGTTTTTCTCCCTCTTTCAGGCTTTTGTCGAGGCACAAAATAAGATAACAGTACCCTTTCTTGAGCAGTGTGCTGTCCGGGGACTATTTAAAGAGCAAATGACAGAACTCTATGACTACCCCAAGTATAGTTGTCATTTCAAGAAAGGGAAAAGGTATGTAAAGGATTGTGTGTGCCTTTGGATTATTGCAGGGTGGTTTATAGCCAGACATTTTGTAGTGGGGGTGTCATAAATTATGTGCTAAGCGTTCACACCAAGTGATTCTCAGGTCAAATGCATACACACACACACGAGAGAGAGAGAGAGAGAGAGAGAGAGAGAGAGAGACTGTGTCTCTACTAATTAAATCTTGAGCCAGGAAAATCAACAGTCAGCCTGCCCAAAAAATAATAAACTCATGACCAACTGCTGTAATAATTAAGGAAAATACAGAAATCCTACCTTTTGTATTGTCGAGCAGTGAAAGAGGACATGTCTGTTTCTGTGACTTTTCAGCCCTATTCTTGCCTTTGCTTACATTTACTAGAATACTGGAAGTGAGAGAAGGTTTACTAATACTTACTGAGCAATTGCTTACTGCTTCTCCATTTTCCTTAATATAGAGTCAGAAAAGGGTTTTTTGTTTTTGTGTGTGTTTTAATGAAAGCCAAAAATTCAGGAAAAGGCCTAGAGGAGGCATGGTTCCTTTCAGATGATGATGGATTGCTCCAGCCTGCTTTCCAATATTGAGAGTTGTAGTTCTTTATCATCAGAACGACACCTTGTTGGCTACTCCTGGCTTAGAATATCCCTGGCAGTAATTAAAGGCCTGGCTTAGAATTAAAGGTCTGAAGCAGAAAAAGACAAAAAACCAGTTCGCTAAAATATCTATTTAAGATTACTCAGTTCACTAGTCCTCCATCACATCAAAGTGGGGAGGTCATTTTCTCACAAGAAGAAGAAAAATCCATCTGGCAGGGATAGTTCATCTCCCAGCTCCACAAAGTTGTCAAGCTCCTTTTCCTGGCAGGCGTGGCTATCTTGTGATCCGCTGCTTAGAGCCAGAATTGGAGCCCAACTAGGTCATGAGCTCTTAAAGGCTGCACTGTTGTCTATAGGCTCTTGCCCATTGTTTGTCTCACACCATCTGTCCTACGGTGCTACACTACTTCAGAGAAACCTTTGGGCAGAACAAACCACTAACTAGGGTTCAGATGACATGCCAAGGCAAACCATGATTTAGCCCTGGGTAGCGCGGCAGCAGGAGGAATCGGGAGAGGAACACAGCAGTTGTGATCTCCTCTCCAGAAACCCACACATTTGCTTGTTTGCATTAATGCTAAGCCAAATGATGGCTTATGCCTAAACTGGTTCAGCAGCCTTGAAGAATATTTCATAAAAGTTGTTTACAAGTGGCAGTTTGGAACTTTTTTTTTTAGTTGAACTTGAATGGTTGCCTTTGTATATGGCAATAATGCATTTGCCTGTCTGCATATATTTTGGGTTGTTACAGCTAAGCTAGCAAAATCTCTACAAAAGTGAGAGGTTTAGGTTTACTACAGGGATTGGGAAACTTGCGGCTGCACAGCTTTTGTTGGACTAGAGCTTCTGTCATCACTGATGGTTGGCCACACCGCATGATGGGAATTGTAGTCCACCTGCTCCCCATTCCTGGTTTACTGGCATGATTAAACTTGGTTTACCATGTGGGTGCCACTTCATACAAACAGTTTCCTATGCAGAAAGGTATGCCTGTGGTTTGTCTTCTTTGTGGCAACCATGCCATTGGTATTATGTGTTCAGGGCCTTAGACTTACTTCCTTAAGGGGCTTCTCTTATGCATGGAAATGCCAAACTGCTGCAGTATGACATTCAGATGAAGAAGAGGCGTTTGTTCCATTTTTTTAAGTAAGTGTATGGCTGAGAAGTCTTAATGATTTGTCTCATTACATACTGCAGTAATGTCAAAAGCTCTAACTGTTATAATGAACTATTTAACGTAACTTGTGAGTTGCTAATTGAATCTGATGTTGACTTAATGCAACCTGATGGGTGAAATTGTGTGCTAAATTACTGAAATGAGGCATTTTTCCATCAGGAAGAAGCTGCTTTCCTCTGTTATATAAATCTGCCACTCCTCTTGAGAGTCTTAGCCTACATAATTCTGTATTCAATCTCATACTATGGTTGAAAATAAAAAAAACCCCAAATAATTATATCATTTATTCTAGGTATTTTCACTTTTATAATTCTGGACTTCAGAATCAACGAGTATTATATGTGCAAGATTCCTTGGATGCTGATGCCAAAGTATTTTTGGACCCAAATAAACTTTCTGATGATGGCACTGTGGCTCTGCGAGGTCAGTGTAGCAGATTTTTCGAAAATGCATTGTTTTTGGAAGCCAACATAAAAATTCTTTATTTTGAGTTATACACATCTACGTGTGAAAAAGTTTAATTGTGGAAGACGTAAAACATGCTTTGAGCTGCTGCCTATATGGTGAAGGCAAGTGTTAGAAGCATAAACTATGAAAGTAAAGTTTGTAACTAACGTAAACTAATACACAGCGTGTTCTTAATCACCAGGTTATGCATTCAGTGAAGATGGTGAATATTTTGCATATGGCTTGAGTTCCAGTGGGTCAGACTGGGTAACAATTAAATTTATGAAAGTGGATGGTACTGAAGAACTGGCAGACACACTGGAGATGGTAAAATTCAGCTGTATGGCTTGGACCCATGATGGCAAAGGCATGTTCTACAACTGCTACCCAAAGCAAGATGGGAAAAGTGATGGTGAGTGGCATACAATCACCCGTCTCCTCCTCAGGCCTTTATAGCATTTATTTACTTTAGACTCCTTTATCTCATTACTAGCTCTGCTTCCTCCTTGTGGGTATTTTGGGTCAGTCTCCAGCTGTTTTTGCACTTAAATTCCCATAATCCCTCATCACTGGTACTGCTAGCTAGGGGTGATGGGAGTTGTAGTCCAAAAACAGCAGGAGACCCCAGTTTGCTAAAGCTAATGGGACAGGTTGGTTAGAGCCATTATCTTCCAGTTGCTTAGTTTCTTTGGCTCATGGGACTTCTTATTCTGCCTGTCCACCTGTCCATCACAGAATGCTGTCAAGTTTCAAGCCAAAGTAACATCTCACTTCCTTGACAGGGAATATTACATATTGCTGGAAGCTAAGCATGACATTTTAAACAGACCAAAAATAAAAATAAAAATACAGTAACTTTAGCAACGTATCTCAAATTATGTAAAGAACATATTCCAAATGTGTTATAAAGAAAAATATAAATAATTATAAAGAAAAATAATGCAAAGCAAAATGCATGGAATAATAGGAATAACAATTATCCTCATAGATATTATCTATATTATCTAGCTTCTAGGTCATAAGGACTAGTATTTCCAGAAAACGTATGAGTTATTAAATCTGGTTCTGCTATCTTGTCAAATAAGAAGCTTCTAATATGTTAAGGTTTTGAAACTTTCAGGTTGTTAGAACTAATAACAAGTCACAACTTACATACCTGTAATTAAATATGTTGATTGCCCCAGGCACTGAGACGTCGACAAACTTGCACCAGAAGTTGTACTATCATGTCCTGGGAACTGACCAATCAAAGGATGTTTTATGTGCTGAATTTCCTCATGAGCCAAAATGGATGGGTGGAGCTGAGGTATGGTGCATCTCACCTTCTTTGAAACTCAGTAGATAATAAAAGTGAAAAGTTGATTATAGGCCCAATCCTTTGTTGTTAAATAAGGTTTCTCGCTGCCTCTTTTTACCTCTGTTGCACTACCTAGGACCAATATATAACACATTGTTTTAAATATGTGAAAATGGTGACTCGGTATATCGTTGAGAACTCATTTTGACTTCTACAATGAATTTTTGTGGTAATCAGTTTACATTGAGAGCCCTCCTACACAAACCCCTTCCATTTTTCTCCAACTTAAAAAAAATATTTCTGTTCTCAGCCATTGTTCCTTTGATCTGATGCTACTGTAGTACCACTTTAAAAAAAAAAACTTGAAAGGGCATTGACCACAATGAAAACAATATTAAAAAGAAAATATGTTTGCTACGCACTGGACACACACATTTTCAGCTTTAAAAATATGGTGGAATTAACATTTGTAGAATTTTAAAACAATGTTTTTTAACTTCATTACTGTCAGCTAATGCTTATAAACTTATTACAGTGGAACCTCAGTTTTCGATCATTTCTGTTGACAAACGTTTTAAAACTCGAATGCCGTAAGCCCAGAAGTAAATGCTTCCGTTTTTGAGCATACCTCAGAAGTTGAACATCCGAGGTGGCTTCCATATTGAGTTTTCCATATTAATTTTTCCGTTTTGAGGTTTCCATATTGAGTTTTCAAATGTTTCTTAACTCGGGAACGGATTACGTTCGAAAACCGAGGTTCCACTGTATTTCTGTAAGTTGTACGCACTTCCATATATTTGCTGTGGGAAACCTAGTGATCACTGTGGTGTATACACCACAAACACATTTGCCACATCCAGGTGTCTTTGATCCAAGTCCACCTTCAATCCACCATACCATAACAGGCCCTCTATGGCAGGGATGGGGAACCTATGGTCCTCCTAATGCAGTTAATTTCATGAGAGTGAAATCAACTTTTGTGCTTTTGGGTCTCTTGATTGGAACCGGCAATGTGTCCAGGATTTGGATTGTTTTTGATATGGGTGTTTCTGTCCATGTGCTGCAGCAGTCCCTACTGCATGCGGGTGAGTGGTTTGTGCAAAAACATTTTTCTGCATGAATCCTCTCTGTTGGTTGGATTTCAAACAAGTATGCTTAGGTTCATGGCCTGACAATGTGATCCTGCATGTGCTTACTCATAAGTAAGTCTCACTGAATTCAGGAGATTGTAGTGTTAGTGTAGCATGATGGTGTTTTGACGTACGAAACACATTTCACCATCAAACTTAGGGAGTATGCCTCATTTTGCTATATAAAACGAGGTCATAAATCTGTAGTGACAGAAGCTCATAAACTTCTCAAGGTGCTTGTTTGTCTGAGGAAATTAATAACTTTTGATTACATATCTGCAGGAGGCTTCTTACACCCAGCATCTGTTGTTAATTAAAAGCATTTACCAGCTTTGCCTGCTGTTTACAATATTTTATTACTTTTTTCTCTCTTACTGCTGCCAGTTTCTGGCAAATGACCTTGTGAAAATAGTTTTTATATGATTTTGCTACCTTTAAATAGGAGTGAAAGGAGACAGTTTTGTCTTCCAAACGTTTAAAATTAGAAAGGTGGCTTAAGAAGGAGTTACACAAAGGAGTTAACAAAAGCCATCCCCTTGTTTCCTCATCAAAATTAGCATTTCTTCTCTTAAACTAAAGAACTGATAATACAACTAATTCATACTTGGAGTAGGCCGAGTGAAATCAATGGGCTGGATTCAACCATCCTATTTTGCTAGTGGAAGCCAGCACAAGGACTCCTGCTAGTGCAACAGGACTCCCCCCCCCCCATGTCACCCCATAGTTCCCCCAGATATGGTTTGGAGAGTTGGGAGATCCCTGTTCCCAGAAGAGCATGCGGGGGACAAGCAGAAATACCTGTGCTGATCCTTAGTGCTACATTGAATTCCACCTAATGGAATTAAGTTACTTGGCAGTATCCAACATGCCTCACCAGCAGAAGGATTTTTTCTTGTACAACAGGATTTCCCCCTGTGTACGCCCTACAACCTCTCTAAATCTGCCCTGGAGGATGGGGGAATCCCTGGAACAGATTTGGGTGGAATGAGAAGGGAGGAAAGGGGGGAGATCCCATTGCACAAGTGGAAATATTTGCACTGGTACAGTGGTACCTTGGTAGTCGAACGGCTTGGCTCCTGAACAAATCGACTCCCAAACGCCACAATCCCAGAAGTGAATGTTCCAGTTTGCGAACATTTTTCGAAAGCCGGATGTCCAACTCGGCTTCTGCAGCTTCCGATTGAGTGCAGGAAGCTCCTGCAGCCAATCGGAAGCCACGCCTTGCTTTTCGAATGGTTTCAGGAGTCGAACGGACTCCCGGAATGGATTAAGTTCAAGAACCAAGGTACCACTGTAAGTGTTACTCACCACTACTTTGAATACACCCCTAATGTCCATCAGTATCAATGGGTCTACCAAGTATGACAGACCTTAGATGTCATGTCTAAGACAGGGTTGCCTAGTGATTAGTCTGTCAGATTAGTGCTGGGGAGACATAAGGAGGAATTCAGTGTTGTGCTCTTCTGATTGTTCCTTCAGCGCAAGCATGTCAGCTTGCCATGGGGAATGATCCCTGTCTCCTCTCTCTGTACTGTTTTGGGGGTTCTCCTGACAACCACAGAGCCAGTTTTGGGGGGTGCATGGAGGGGGGAAGCCCTGTTGCACAAGCAGAAGTCCTGGTGCAGGGCTTCCACTGCTAGGGCTCATTCAGTGAATCCTGCGTCAAGGTTCACTTGGCTGTGACACTCACTGGGTGACGCTGGGCCAGTCGCTATATCTTATCCTTGTTGTGAGGGTGCAAGGGAGGGAGCAGAAAGAAAGCAGTGTACACCTCATTAAGCTCCTTCGATGGAAGGTAGGATGTTAATGTGATAGGTAAATGAAATAAAGAAACCAGGCCCAACTCTCACCCTTCTTCCTTCAACATGGTGCTTCTACATTTCAGAGAAGGGACTATATTTCATTCCATTGGCAGCTATCCAAGGCACACACCCCCTTCCCAAGCCTCATCCTCTGCCCCTGTTCCAAAGCAAATGTTCTGTGTCGGTATTTGCATCAGTTCTAACTAAAACCAGAAATGTCATGGCCCTGTTTTTCCCCTATACGCTATATCCAGAATTTAGAATGGAAGCAGAGGGAGCAAGTTTGTGGCAGCTCCCAGAAGAGGGCACTATAGAATGACGATTTGAAGCCATGTGTGTGGCATCTGAGTTAAGTGGGGAAAGCAGTGATGATTTTAAATGGACCTGTGCTGCACACGTTAGAACCAGGTTCCCATGCTTGGGGTAATATAAGAAATGCCATCAAAAGTATCAAATTAGGAGATAGATAGATAGATAGATAGATATTGCATTCCGCACTCCCTTCAAAAATAACAGGTGAACACAACAGCAGTATAGGTGGTGTGTTTCGCTTCAGAAGCATTTTAAAAGTTTCAGTTGCAAAACTCCTTTCACTTTCAGCTACAGGCACTTACCTGCAGCACAACCTAGATGAGCTGACCTGAAGGATCACCTTTGTGCTTTTGCTCAAAACAAATACCAGTAATCAGAACACGAACTGCTGCAGTATCTCGATGGTAATGTGCTGTGGGATTTGCAGCGGTTGAAGTTTGGCACGAGCTGCTGTGAAGCACTGGAATATTCACAAACATCCTGAGTCCTGGAGACCGAAAACAGGCAACAGGCTAGAGGAAGGGAGATTACCAAGGGCCCACTGTTATTATTTAAATGTGTTTATTTGGAAGGGCCTTTTTGTCTGTCTCATGTTTGGAGGTATGTTTGACCTTTGGGGCAGGGATTATGAGAATCACTAGTTTTTGTTCTCTGAAGATCATTTTGTATTTCATGGTGCCCATGGCAGTTTTTTTAGATTTCTAACTGTGCCCCCGGGACCAAAAATGTAGGGGAATCCCTGTGATAATTACTGAGCAGGCAACTGTGCTCCCACATATTTTATGATAGGAAACAGCTCCCAGGTTAGAGCATGACTTCTTGGTAGTTCTGAATCCCAGGACCTATCTTAGAAATGTGGCCACAGGGCTTCCTGCCTAGCATAATTGGAATGGCTATTTTATAAAGGAACATGATCTTCCCAGTTATGCTTTATGGAGAGTATAGCTCCCAATACAATACACCTGCTTCATTTGACTGCATTATGTGCTAATTATTGTTTTCCTCTTGGAAAGCATGATAGTGTTTGAATAGGAACCAGCATTGCTACTGGGTTTAATGCATGGTTGAAGTGTTTGGTACCCTCCATATGTTTTTGGATTAAGACTCCCATCATCCCCAGCTAACTAGCATGGCCAGTGGCAGGAACAATGGGAGTTGTGGCCCATCAACATCTGGAGGGCCGTAGCTTCCCATTCCTGGTTTAATGGTTTTGATAAATTAAGATTATTACAAATACAGGAGTTGGCAAGAGTGGTGGCGGTGGCTGTGTAGACCTGCAAGGAAGTAATTAAGGTACAGTGGTTCGAAAGTGCACACAGGTTTTGGGTATAGGGATTCAATCAGTTCTGCGTATAAGCAGCTGCAGCCTCTTGCAAAAAAGAAAGGTTTTTAATTGATTGGTTTCTCTTTTTCAAGAGCACTGGTTTAAAAACAAACCAGAAGACAAGGGAGTGTTGTATTATATCAGGGAGCTTCGTTCCAAGAGACAGTGGTTATGAATTCTAAAAACAAAATGGACCCCCCCCCCCAAAAAAAACCACACACACTAATTTTGTATTTCGGGAAAAAAGACCCAGATTGGCACTAAAAAAAAAAATACTATAAAAACCAAAGGGATTGAGAAAACAGTATAATTTCAGTTCTTCCACTGAAATAGATAGGATATTTAATTTAATCCTTCCCCTGAATCAAACTACATTTAATTTGGGACCTGAGTGACTCTGAAACCTGTGGACAGAATACTGCTTCAGCATAGCATGAAATGCAAATTGACAGGGGTGGCCATCCAGCCCCACAGAGACAAAAAAGCACATTGCTGGGCCAGCGGCTGGCAGGTTAAGCAGGAAAGAAGCTATTCTGTCTCACATTGCACCCTCTCTCTCTCTCTCACACACACACACACATACATACAGACATATATTTGTCTTTATTTTTCTCCAGTAAAATATCTGATGGTGTAGTTTTTGAATGCAGCTGTCAATAATGTTTTGCCTTAATACTCTTGAATTCCTTTGAGTTTTGAAATGCATTGATGTAAAGACAGCTGTAGCAATGAAGACAGGCTTAATTGGCACCCTACCCGTAATGTGTGTTGGGAAATTAGATTAAGAATGTGTTCTGGGAATCGCATTGAGCAAACTGTTATCAACTATTCACCAGTCCAGTGGGGAATGTTGAGAAGCTCATTAGATATGCTCAAAATTGCTGCTGTTAGGGGCTCTTGTTTGCCATCATGCAAAATAAAGTTTCAGAGATTGCTTTTGCTTTGATGGAGTAAAGGCAGTAAAGATTCTCAAGTTTGTAGTATATTGACATTAACTCAAAATGTTGGGTACTAGACGGGGAAGGTGCAATGGCTGATAACTTCCTTGGCCTTCAAAAAGCTCCAGGCGTAATCCATGGCATCTTCAGGTAAGGATGGGAAAGAGCAGCTTTTATTCAGTGGAGATGATACTAAGGTATATGGACCAATGTGTGTCTTGATATAAAGCTTCTTTGAAAGATGGAACCCATGGAGGGAAGAGGTCTAAGGGTTTGAAAGAACTCTGTATTTTAATGCTGGAAATGGTTTTGTTTTATACGTGTAATCCCCCCCCCAAAAAAGCAATTAAATTTTTTATTTTTTTAAAAAAGATATAAAGCTTCTTTGGGACAGGATTCAACTAACAAGCCCCACCAGCAATAGCCTGTGTAAGAACTTCTGGTGCAGTGGGACTAGGGCCCCATCTCCTCTCACCTTGCACCCACCTCAAATTGGTTCTGAGGGAGTCTGGAGAGGGCAGGCGGAGCTATCTGCCTAGCACCAAGTTGAATTCCACCCTGGATGCAATAATAATAATAAGACCCCGCCCATCTGGCTGGGTTTGCCCAGCCACTCTGGGCGGCTTTCAACAGAACATTAAAAACAGAATAAAACTCCAAACATTAACAACTTCCCTAAACAGGGAAGGCTATCACTGAGCCACTTTTCCCTATGGCAGTTTGGGATGGTACCCCACCAGTTGGGAACCCTAGCAGTCTGTGCTGGGTTCATAATAAGTTTGCTTTCAAAATTGTTCAGTGGGTTCTAGCCACTGGCTTTAATAGAACTGAAGTGTGTTTTTATTTATATGGTTTCTAACTGCCGTTCATCAAGGAGATCCCATGGTGGTTCACACATCTCTACAGCTAAAAACTCAAAATAATGTAACAACATTAAAACATAAAATTAAGAACCAAATAAAGGGTATTTGGGGGGTTTAAAAAAAAAAAAAATCCAATCAATTGAACAAAGCAAAGAAAGATGCCAGGAATTGTCCTTGGGACCTTCTGTATGCAGAGCATGTTTTGACTCTTTGAGCTTCCCCCTACAAATACGTATGTGTAATACAAAACAGATATTCTATGCTTTTGTATTTTAATTGTGTAGAAATCCTGGGTATCAAAGCCACACACGCAACAATAATGACAAACACTACCAACAACAGCAGAGGGAGGGGAAGGGGAAGAATTAGGACATGGCTTTAAAATATTTGCACCTGCTGATCATCTAAAAATTTGTATTTAAGTGCTGATATAATTAATTTAGGATGCTTTCTGTAGAGTGAATATATTTAATAAAGATCTGCCAGTATAATTTTTGACACTGTCTGCTGTCACTTTGCATTTAGCACAACAACATCAGCTTGGCATGACTTTCCATAATATAAGGGCTTCATAGATGAGAGGGATTTAAAATTAGTTTGGCTTTAATTTCAGGCGGTTTGTTCTTCTATCAAAATACACTGGGTTGCTGCTTTTCAGAATGCACTGTTGAGTCGAAACACTGATTTGACATTTGCTTCACATTTTGTATGTGTCTGAGACATGGAACGGATTTGAAGGACTAGGCGAATTTGTGGCCCTCTAGATGTTGACAGACTTGAGTTCCCATCGCCCCTTACAATTGGCCATGTTAGTAGCGTCTGGAAGATCACAGGCTCCAAACACATCTGTACAAAGCATATCAGTAGTCCTACATATGTTTGTAACTTTATAATTTGACACACCTGTTTTGCTTTTGGTTTGTAAATTGTTAGTAACTTTTTGGTTTGGTGTACGTCAATATTTATGTTTCATTCATTGTGATAAATTTTAGGTATCTGATGATGGGCAGTACGCTTTGCTGTCCATACGAGAAGGATGTGATCCAGTTAATAGGCTGTGGTACTGTAATCTACAGAAGGAATCAAATGGTATAACTGGTAAGAGGCTGCTTTCTTCATGTCAAAGTAAAATGACTCCTTTCCGAATACATTGCAAGTTTACATATAACAGTAAGTTACAAATCTTGTACGAAGAATAAAAACATGGGTGTGTTCCTAGTGGCTGCTTGAGCTGCCCTGTTCTCCAGCCAGTATTTGTTAAACAGAGAAACCACACATTCTTTCCTTAGGCTTCATACAGGACTTGTCTTTAACAGTCACATTCTGGATTGCTACAAATTTTCCTTCTGTCGTTTTAGGATTATTCAAGCATACGAAGGGGTAGCTTGGTACATATTCCACCCTGTGTGACTCGGTCTGCACTGAAGGTTGGGCCCAAGTCAGGTAGCTGAGTTGAGTCCCTGGATGCACATGTATTGCACCTGTGCTGAGCAACTGATAGTCAGTGCAATTGGCCAGCTGACCATGCTCACGGTCTCAGCAATAACATTTACAGCCCTGAACAATTTGGGACCAAGCTACTTGAAATACCTCCCCCCTGTATAGACTGTAAGACAGCATGGCCAATAGTCAGGGATGACTGGAGCTGTAATCCAGCAACATTTGAATTCCCCACCCCTGCTACAGAATTTACCCCTTCTCTTAGAATGCTTGCATTTGAAGCAATAAACTGTTCTTGGGACTTGTAGATTTTTCTCTTTCCCCCTTTGCTTTCATCATATTATTTGCTTGCTGCAGAAGAAGCCTTTCTGAATTTGTCTATGCATGTATGTTCCATTTTCAAAATTGCATTTATGGCTGCCACTGTAGACTACTTCCCCTCCCCCTGATCTGAAGTTCCATCAAGGGACCCCAACAGTCATCTAGTCCAACCCCTGGCAGTACAGGAATAACAGCCAAAAAATCCTTGACAGGTGGCCATCCAACCTCTGTTTAAAATCCACCACCCTTGATCTCCTGCCCTCGATCTGTTCTGGGGCTTCCTCCAATCCTCTGGAGCAGTTTTTTTTTTGTTTTGTTTTTTGAGGAGGCATGCACAAGAAGAGGGGAAGTTTCATTGTGCAAGCAGGAGTCCTTGCATGAATGGGAAAACTTGGTTAGATACATCCCTTACTCCCTTTCTCATTTGTGCTGGCTGTATGCTGGACTGTTGGCCTCTTCTATTTATTGGACTCTGTTGAACCATGTGTGTATCAAAATTCAAATTTCCATCTGTTATTAAGTACATTCTAATTTCTGCTCAGTGAGTTTCTAATTGGAACTTGGTGTGGAGTGAAACAGGCAAGGAAATCGCAACATATGGGAGGGGGGACAGATTTATCTGATATGCTCAAATGAACAAAACAAGAGTTCTTTCGTTCTTCAGGGCCGTTTTCTTTCTTTTAATTACTTCGTTGTCTGATTTATTCCACAACTTGTAGACATACAGTTTAAAGTTGAAACTGAGAGTTGTTATCCAAGGCCAACTAAGCGCATTGGGAAAAAGAAAAAATCATATATTATACGGATACTGTAGATATAATCAGTGAGAAGACTTTAACCAGTGAACTTAATTCAGAGCATACTTTCAGTGTAGACTTGAAAACATAGATAACTTGTTCAGTGTAAGACTAAAACAAAAACAAAAAACCATTGAGCCACTACTGTATACTTGCATCTTTTTGTATCATAATTTGATTTTATCCTAAGAACATTTCTAACCTTAGATAGAACTGCATGAGAAAAAATACGTGGGAGAAGGATGTAGAATATTATCCAAGTCATTTCCACAATCTGTCCCTTTTTCCCCAATGGGGATTTAAAACCCAATTCTAAAATAAGCTTTATTTCTGTCATGCTGTGCACATGATAGCTAATTAAAAAATCAGTACCTCTCATACGTTTAATTCATCACATTTACTCATCGTTTCTTTAGAGCAATCCCTTTATACATTTTCACAATTGCCAAAAGTTTTTTTGTGTGTGTCTGAGCACAACTGTAAGCAATGAGTAACTTCAACTTTGCTTTCTTTTCTTTAATGACCGTTCAGGTTGATATCAAGGACCACAGTTGCCTTCTGAACTTAAGAGTGAGACTGACAAATCCATTCATTTTCATACTAAATTTAGATCCTGCCTTTTCTGCAAGGAGCTCAAGGCAGCTTCCCAGTTCTCTTTCTGCCCCCCATTTATCCTCACAGCAACCCTGTGAAGTGGGTTATACTGAGAGTCGCCCAAAATCATCCAGTGAGTTTCATGATGGAGTGGGAATTTGAACCCTGGTCTTCCAGGTCCTAGTCTGACACTCTGGTTCTGCATTTAAAATGTGGAAGACTGGTGTGAGTGCAACTTGTACTTCTGTTTCCTTTGTTTATCTGTAAAATTTGGAATAGCTCTAAAGGAAGCTGAGGTCTTCTGGATGATGTTGGACTCCCATCATCCTTAACCATTAGCCATTAGAAGCTGAAGCCCAACAACCTGCTGGGGGGGGGTAAGGATAATAATAATAATAGTAATAATACCTTTATTGTCAATGTACAACCTGTGTACAATGAAATTAACCGAGTCTCCCTCCCCCCCAACACTCAGTCTCATTGCACTCTGTGTACTTGTCGCACAACACACCAACCCCAAAAGTCAGTTGCACTATATTATTTTCCATTCAGCAGCCTAACAGCCCACGGATAGAAACTGTTTTTTAGCCTGTTGGTACGACTGATTATACGTCTATATCTCCTGCCTGAGGGTAGAACATTAAAGAGGTACTGGCCGGGGTGTGAATCGTCCCTGAGAATTTTTCTCGCTCTCCTAAGGCAACAGTCCCCTTGCGATGTCATCTAGCGGGCTCAGGGGACAGCCCATGATATCATGTGTTGTGTTCACCACCCTCTGTAAAGACTTTCTGTCCGTGGCTGTCGAGCCATCGTACCACACTGTACCACACATATGAGAGGACACTTTCTATTGTGGACCGGTAGAAGGAGGTAAATCAATTGTTGTTTAACATTGTTCTTTCACAAGACCCTGAGAAAATGGAATCTCTGTTGGGTAACAGAGTTATATTGAGTTTCCAAGTGAGGTCTTCACTAAGGTAAACTCCCAGGAATTTAAAGGAAGAGACTGTCTCCACACAATCCCCCAATATACAATGGGGCTAATTCCCCTCTCTTCCTCCGATAACTTCTGTCTGCCCTACAGTACTTCAGACTGTTAGCTTTTAAGTTGACTTCCAGTCAAATGTTTCTGGCCTTTGATGTGGCCAGAAAAGATGAAGTCAGCACCACTGGACTTTGGGTGAGAGTCAAGATGAATGTTCAGCATCTATTCTACCATTTTCCTACTAAGCCACAAGGAAGAAGGTGCTGCATCCCAGAGAATGCTGGTGCTTACACTGTACATTAAAGTGAAAACTTTACTAACTCTACCCAAACAATAGGCATAGCTGTTGTTTGTTAATTCAGACATACCAAGCCATGATTAGGGTTTGCAAACCCACATTACACTACAGTTCCTTGCCTCCTTTTCTTTTTCAGCTTATCACACACTATGGTTTGTCAATTCGGACATCACGCCAAGCCAAAGTAAAGCATAATTAATCATGGATTGGCATGATGGCTGAATTAGCCCAACACGATCCTGACCCAACAGAAATGCCTGTTGTTTTCTTAGTGTCATGCATTGTAATATTGCTGAGCATTGGCAGCACCAAAAAAAAAACAACAACCCTACAGTAGTAGCAAGTATTGGCAATGGCATTTCTGACTCACTCACATTGAAATAAAGGGCAAAAGTAAAAAGATTCCTTGTGTTAGTAATTACTGTTAATTTCTTTGGGTTTTTTTAATATTTTAGCCAATTTTGCCCATATTTATAGAAAAGTCAATATGCACAGTGTATATGTAGCTTGAGTAATTTCACTGTTGTGAGTACAGTGGTGCCTCGCAAGACGAAATTAATCCGTTCCGTGAGAGTCTTCGTCTAGCGGTTTTTTCGTCTTGCAAAGCAAGCCCATTGACGGATTAGCGCTATTAGCGCTATTAGCGGTTTAGCGGCTATTAAAGGCTTAAAGGCTTAGGGGATTAGCTGCTAAAAGGCTATTAAAGGCTATTAAAGGCTTAGCAGATTAGATAAAGGGGGAAAGCGAAAAAAATCTCAAGACTCGCAAGGTATTTTCGTCTTGCGAAGCAAGCCCATAGGGGAATTCGTCCTGCGAAGCAACTTCAAAACAGAAAACCCTTTCGTCTAGCGGTTTTTCCGTCTTGCGAGGCATTCGTCTTGCGGGGCACCACTGTAGATCTTTCTGCAAATCCTAAAAAGCCCACAGTAATTATTTTTTCACACAAAGAACCAACATAGATGTGATTTTCCCTTTGCCTAACCCATATTAAGAGTTTCTGATTACTGACAGGATCTCGCCACTCCCTATATATATTGATTGTATATAAGTCTTATATTCCAATGCTGGTTTTGTAACCGGATTTGTAATGGCTTTTAGTCAAATACAATAAATGATTGATTGATTGATTGATTGATTGATAGAAGTCTTATGTGAACTAGATTCAAATTAAAAGGAAGCAGATGTTAAAAGTTGGAAGATAGAGATGGGAATCTAATCAGTTTAATGTCTTGGTTACGATGCTTTCATTTGATCAATTAGCAAAGTGTTTGGGCATTCTCTAAACTGGATTAATAAGCATCTAAAATATACTCTGTGATTAGGTATTAGGTTTTTGTATATTTAACCATTGGAACATGCAAATATATCATCAGATGGTTACCACTGAGTTAATTAATTATACCCATAGACCCTTGACTTAACAGCATTGTTGAGTGCAAGGGTGTGAGTCTTCATAGTCTTTATACTCTGCTGAAAGCATACTATATTCTGCCCATTTCCCTTATGAAGATTTTTTAATATATAATTTATTGCTATGAGTTAGGATGCTGCCTTATAACAAGTCAGGCCTTTGGCCCATCTAAGTCAGTATTGTCTGCACTGACTGGCAGCACCTTTCAGTCTGGGAGTCTTTGTGTCTGCCATGCCTCATCTGCTTTGCAAAGCTGTCTTGGCTCTTTTGCCTTTTAAATTGTTGTAAGGGAAGGGAAGGGAAGGGAAGGGAAGGGAAGGGAAGGGTGTCCACCATTAAAGGCTCCAGGCAAGTGTGACATTTTATTAGTTCTGCCATAGAGGAGGCAGCTGTGTCTTGTCTGTTCACTGATCCTTGATGTGCCTGGGATCTGCGAAGTTGACTCATTCTGTCTCTGGTAGAAAATTTGACTCCTGAGATTAGGCTGTGGGCTATTACCTTTTAACTCACTGTCTGCTAAAGCAGCGTGAAATTTAGTTGTAACCCCCCCACCCCCAAACAGCCGTCGTATCCTGGATGTTAAAACACCTAGCCAAAGGAGGAACAACCATCAGTCAAATTTCTTAACCCTGAATCACAAAAGAGTGAAGTTTAACTCCGCATCTTGAAAATATGGGAAGTCTAAATCCGTGCCTTTCATGGGATGCCCTGGACCTGAAACAAAAGTGAATCTCCAATACTTCTGTAATGGCTGCTGCCATCTGGGTTGTTGTTTTTTTGTCTGCTTCAGAAGGCTGCAGCTCAGTGTAGAGCAAAGCTGTTTCACAAGCACAGCAGCCCAGGTTCAGTCTCTGGGGTCACGGGCTAAGAAGAATCAAGTAGCATCTGCCCTTGAAGAGCAGATGCCAAGCAAAGTGCCCTGTACCCTGCGTCTGACTCAGAATAAGGAAGCATCCGATGCTGCTGAACTTGTTTTTAACAGCATGTTCTCTTTCTTACTGGCCTGAGAAGAAGAGGTGTAAATCTTCCTCACTCTCCTCTCTGCAGTGTGTTCTGTTCAGCTTTCTTCATTCATCCTCTGTGTTATCTGCCTTTCATTGCAGGCTTCTGGCAGTAGCTCAGTGCCAGAGTACAGACTGCTAGACAATCTGCAGCATCTTTTCAAACACCTTCTCACTCTGCATGATGTGTGACCCATCACACACACACACACACACACACACACACACACACACTTGCATTCCCTCCAGTGACAGATTCTGCTGCAGGAATTCTTTTCAACACACCAGCCTCTTTGTTTTCTGTCTTCTGTAGGGAGATACAGTACCTTGGCAACTTTCTGTGTTAAACTACCCGGGGAACAATTTTTGCTATCAGGCAGAGCAATCTGTCTGGTTAACTTTTCTGAGAAGCTGAGCCCCGTGTGCTCACTCACTCTCCTCACCCTCCAGCTTCCTGTTGCTCCTTTTGCTTAGCAGTGGCATGGGTGTGGAAGGCCTGCAGAAGGAGAAAGCGTGTCCTGCGTGGGGTACGTTGGGGCATCTGAAAATTCCTTATATAGCTTTTGATTTTGAAAACCTTTTCATCTGAGAATTGAGAACTATCTTAACAGTTGTGTGAGGCATCACCCACTGGTGATGGTGGGGGGGTGTACAGCTATTCAAAAAGTGCCGCCTCTGTTTCACAGGCCAATCCTTGGTTTACAAAAGTAGGGCAACAACTTCAGTCAAGTTCTCTGATGAATAAAATCTTTGGTCCCTGGAGGGGACTTAACCTGCACTGCCGATCCTTCAGTGAGCAGTGGTTGACTCCTATGGTTCAGTATACTTGATTTTTGTTTGGGAACCTGGCTTGCAGGCGAGTTAAGATCTGAACCAACTATAGTCTGCTGCATTCAGAGGCAACAGCAGATAGTGGTTTGGCACTAAGTGGAAACAGAAGCTTCTGATCTCTCCTGTTTGGGGACAAGTAGGAGGTAGCACACAAGCCCAAGGCTAGTTGCTACTCGTGTCAACATGGTTTGACAGATTGTCTGAATGCGGCTCTCTCTCCATTCCAAGCAGCGTTAGGCAACAAAGCTCTTTGCTGTCATGCACAGTATGATAAGATTTCAGAAATGCTGATAGACAGAATAAGATTAATTATTACTTCAGCATATTTGCATGTGTCAGGACTAATTAGTATGTTCCTTTTTATTAAGTTGCAAAGGAGTGCAAGGAGATGTTGAGTTATACTTGACATTTCTGTGCCATACATGATTATGGACACATATGCTTCTGAAAAGGAACACAATTATTGTTTCTGGAGCAAAAGAGCATTAGCATAATTAATTTCTATAACATAATTCTAATCCTTGTAAGGTTTTCCGTATCGTCCTGTTGCTGTCAAAATAACATTTTACTTTGTTACTTTTTCAATTGCCCTGGACTCTTGTGAGGAAAGGTGGGGATAGATGATGATGATGACTGAGGATTTTGCAAGACATCAGGTCTGGATGTGTGATTGAATGTGTGGTTACATATTAGAATGAACAGGACATCCATAATGCAAGTCCTCCTTTCTTTAGACCCAACAAGCTATGATGCTTGCAGGAAAAAGAATCTTGTGGGGTCAGAAGAACACTGAGGGATAGTCAACCAAGTTACTCATGGTCATTAACTTAATGCCCTACTCCGAGTTAAAGTTAGTTGAATGCAGCCCATTGCTATTAAATACCCTCATCACGTATACTTGGTTTTACAGTTGTAAGTGCTTTCCTTTTTCTCTTAATGTAGGTCTTCTGCACTGGGTGAAACTGATAGACAACTTTGATGCAGAATATGAATATGTCACCAATGAGGGAACTGTGTTCACCTTCAAGACAAACCGTCATGCTCCAAATTATCGACTAATTAACATCGATTTTAGTGACCCTGAGGAATCCAAGTGGAAAGTGCTGGTTCCTGAACACGGAAGAGACGTTCTAGGTAAGAATATTAAGTTACAAAGGAGAGACGCCACTACTATTTTTTGTAATAACCCAGAAGGACTTTCACCTTGAACCAACAATCTCTTAAGTTTAAGAAATGTTGTGAGATGGAATTGCAGGTTGTCTTTTAACAGCAGTTCTTCAACCATGGCATATGAACCACAAACAAGTAGCGCACAGTGAAACTGAATAGTTGTTTTAAGTTGTATCTGACTAAGTAATACTCAGGGTAGGCCCATGGAAATCAGTGTGCTCAGAGTATGGCTTATCTGGATGGTGCAAAGATGGGGCAGTGGCGAGGCTGAAGTGATCTGGGTGCACCAAGAGAGCCAGTCCTGTGTGCCTTCATAATCCCATCCAGGTAAGCAGCAGCAATGCTGGTGTTGGGAAGGTGTCCTTACAGCACCGCACAACCAGCTAATTCTCTTTTAGGCACTGTGGGGGGAAATCTTCTCCCACCCAATTGCTAGATTCCTGTATACCAGAACTGCAGAAATTATAATACTCAAATTGTGTGAGAGCGCTTTATTCCTAAAGAGCAACTTGTCCTGATGCTAACAGGCCAAGCTGCCGTTGTGTCACATTGCTTTAGTCTCTTCCCAGATTTGCCTTGGAAAGAAATAATTGTATCAGAAGGCAGTTAATAATTTATCACTCTGAAGGCTTTGCAGTCAAGTTAATTTTTGATTTTACCTGATAAAGATGACATATTAATGAAGTGCCTTCTGCAAAAACAAGATGTGTAAGAATTCAAAGGTTAAATGGTTACGTAGCATGAAGTGATTCATTGCTGTGGCTTAATCAGCACTTGACACCACTGCTCTCAAATTCTAGATAGCACAATGGTTGTAAACATTCCTCTTTAGCCCTTTTCTATGTTTATTTAAGCACACAGACTAAGGCTTCTTTTTCTGGTTTAGCACTTTTAGGAGACATCTGAAGACATCTGAAGGTTTAGGGAAGCTTTTAATGTTTAATAGGTTATTGTATTTTAATATTCTGTTGGAAGCCGCCCAGAGTGGCTGGGGAAACCCAGCCAGAAGGGCAGGATGTAAATAAAATAATAATAATAAATGAAAAACATGAAAACTACTCCGTTGCCACTATTTTGAAGTGCCTTGGGTGTTTTATATTGTGAAACCTTTCCCACATCTCAGGCAAAATAAATGCAAAGTACATACAAATGGAAGGCCTACTGATCTGCAATCCAATCCCAAACATGTGTACTCAGAAACAGAGCCAACTGATGGCAGACGTAGGCCCCTAACCAAGCCAAAGTTAGTAGTGGCCAAATCACATTTAAAACAGTGGAACTGATGTCTTCCATTAGTAGTTGTAGCTGTGTAGCTCAGACAAATCCACCGTATCCATTGTTGGGACTTACTCCTTAGTATGTTTAGGAATGAAGTTTTGGTCTTTGCTAAAAATGGGTTTTAAGACTGATTCACACTAAGATGTTTTGCTCCCTACTGGATCAGTCTTTGGTATGCTCACGTGGGCACACACTGCATGTGAACTGGAAAGTTGCAGCTACAGCCAGCAACATCAGTTCATAGAAAGTGGCTGTAAGCCAGGTCAGGCCATTTCTCCCATCTGTCCCAGTATTGTCCACTCTGTCTCTCCATCATCTCCAGGAGAGGTCTTTCCCCTCTCCTGCTCCCTGATCATTTAAGCTAGGAGTGCGAGGAATTGGAACGTCCTTCATGTAAGCCAAATGCTTACACTTCTCCAGCTCTTTTTATTGTGGGGAGTTCTGCTGACTACAGCAGTGACTGCCTGGCTGACACAAGATATTGTCCTCATACCTGAGGATTTGGGGAAGTGTTTGCATGTAAAGGATACGCCTTCTGTGAACCAGCCCTTGGTGAGAGTTTTCTATTAAGTGTCCATTGCCATGTTCCAATGGGGCAGGTATACCATCAGTCTTGTAGTGGTCTTGATTCCTTTAACAGCAACTTGAGAAATCTAGCTTTGCATCACCATCTCCTGTTTTCTGTAGGCTGGGCTGCCATCAGCATCAACACAGAAGTATTACCTCCCCAATCCTCCCCCCCCCCCCAATAGTATTGCTTAGATAACAATACACTGTTGTTATGCTTTGCAGTAGCTACTGCTGCTGAACAGCATAATGTTTAGGCAAAAACTGCTCTCATTGATGAAAGTGTAGAAATGGCAAAAAGATATCCCAGTTTTCTCTTTCACCTGACAGATTGTTATTTTTTTCCTACCCCAAAGCACAAAACAAGAGTTGGGTTATAAGGAGAGGTTTCACACAGAGTTGAGATAAATTTAGAATGCAATTCTGTGAATTGAGAAGCGGGGGGAACCATAGATTTTGAAAGGCAGCTCCAGGATATCTAAAATTCATGAAGGTCAGAATATTTGTTCCTTTTAGAGAGCTTTTTTTAAAAAAGATGATTGGCATTATTTTCAGATATTTTTCAACCTTGCTTTTTTATCTAAACACCTTAATACTAACAGAAGCTGTTAGAGAAGGTTCTGCCTGAATAGGCAGTGTTTTCTTGTTCTGCAGCATAATTTTTATTTGCGAGTCGCTTTTATCAATACAATTTGTGGCTAGAGATTAAAGCACATATTTTTGGCAGGTGTATCTGTATCCTTCCACTTGCCATTCAGGATTTCCATGCCCCTGAAACTGGAACTCTCTGAAAATGAAGAGTCCCTGAATTCAGACAACCCCTTGTTCTTGTACTGCATCCTGTGCCAAGCCAACTTAGTTATTTGTCTGTCTCCCTGTGATAAATAAAATTGCCATTAGGCAGGTTCTCCTGCTGTAAGTAAGGAGAGATATGGGCACAGTCGCTGCAGTGATGTCCTGTGTTTAGAGCTTACAGTACTATAAAAAGAAGCAATTATTTCCTTTCCTTTCTCCCCCATTTTGTCATTATAAAACAACCTGTGTTTTTGTTTTGTAATTCTTTTTTCTTTTTCTTTTGGTTGGTCTGGTGGGCAAAGAACGCTAGTTGAACTAAGCCAGAAATTACTGCAAAATGTTTTGTATGATAAGTTATTTATGGAATTGGTTGAAAAGAAAATGGGATAACTTGCTTCAGCAGTAGCAGTCTTTGAGTAAATAAGATGTGGTTATGTTTTTCGGTGGTCTCTGTCTGTCTCCCTTCAATCTAACATTCCTAAATTAATAATCTGATTTAGCTGCCTACAGAGTCTTGATGTTGAATGGATAGTATATAAATTTTAAAAGAATTAAAGTTGTTAAGGTTCACTGGAGAATTAATGCTACCAAATCCTGAAGGGATCAGATTTGGGCTGTGACAGTGTGTGCTTCCTGTCTGAGAGATGTGGTGCCCTCACTATCCATAGCCATGGTTAGCCATGTGAAGTGCACTGACGTTAACATTGCTTAATGTCAATAAATCCTCTTTAAGAGTGAGCCCTGGTTAGTGTAAATCCCTATTGATGTAAGAGGCCAGCTGTGGTTAAGGGTTGTGGGGAAAATATTTTGACTTACCTTGCACTCCTTCACTCTCTGCCATGAGTAAGGGGTGCACCAAGAGTGCTAGGTATGTGTTACGTAATCCCTCTGTGATATCAGTAATGCAGATCACAATGCATCTTTGCTTCAGTTGTTTTATGAGAGAACAGATGTAGGCTCTTTCTACATGCTGAGTATTCCCACAAGTTGTTAACTTTGCCGGACCCAGATGGGTTATCTGAAAGTTTCATTAATAACAATGTAGAATACATACAGACAGTCTGCCATATGCTTGCTTACAAGCCAGCATTTCATGTTCTTGCTTACAGTACGTAAAACAACTACATTTACGGGTCTGGAAAGCTTTCAGAATCTAATTGAACTTGTGTTTTTGCTTAGGGCCAAGCTACATACTACACTTAATGCACAGTAGACAGCTTTCTCTTTTTCTTCTTAAATACAGGCATGCTCCCCCCACCCCCACAGTTACCAGGATCATGATGCGCAAGGAAGGGAAGCTTATTCCTTCCTTCCTCAGCTACAGCCCCTCCCCAGTGTAGCTACAAAGCTTTGGCACCTGCTGGAACCTTTGCTCTAAAGTCACAGCCAGACCCTACATTAAAGCACACTTATACTACTACAACTATCATAGCTTGCCCCAGAAGAATTCTGGGAACTGTAGTTCACCTTTAACAGAGCTACAGTTCCCAGCACCCTTAACAACAATTCCCACCGTCCCCAGGATTCTTTGGATGGAAGCAGCAGAGTGTTTTAAATGTAAGGTTTGGGTGTGACCTAAGCATCAGAAATGTGCAGGGTTTTTGGGGGGGGGCTGGGGAATCATGGCTTTGGGGGGGGTTAAACCCCTCCCCCTGCATTGTGATGCTGTTCAGTTCGGTCCTTAATCTGTAATCAGATTAAAACAAATGATCTTGTGCATGAGGTTTAAAGTGTTTGGCCCTTGGATTTAAGAGCTAAGGAAATCTATATAACTGTTGTGTATTTTTAAACAAAGTGACTTTAGGTGTGTTCTGTTTTGGTGATGTTTACTGCTTATTCTGAAATGGACTCTTTCCCTTCCTGTGGACAGAATGGGCAGCTTGTGTCAGATCCAACTTCCTAGTCTTGTGTTACCTCCATGATGTGAAGAACGTCCTGCAGCTTCATGACCTTACCACTGGAGCTCATCTCAAGACACTCCCACTGGACGTTGGCAGCATTGTGGGATATAGTGGCCAAAAGAAAGACAGTGAAATATTTTATCAGTTTACTTCCTTCTTATCACCTGGTAAGTCTGTTTTGCCTTTGCGTTATGTTCTGGGCAGCTTCACACATGACACTTCCCATACACAAATGTTAGTCAAGTCTAGGGAAATTCTTTTTGCAAGAACCTAGTTCACAAGTCTCTTATTTTGGAACAACTTGTATCACATGCTTGGTGGAGCATGGCAGCAGGTTGTCACTGTGTACATGCAGAGTATGGAGTGTTTGCAATACCCAAAGATCTTGCAGAATTGAATCATGTCTGTGTGGCAAATAACCCCGCTTTTTACTGAATGATATATTGAGATATATATATACTGAATGATATGTTGAAAGGACCTGTACTTAAGTGGTGCTCTCATTCAGCCTATTGTGCAGATTAAATCAATCCCATATTCAACTGTAAGATTCTTATTCGACCATATGGAAATCTGGCTTTTGTAAAATAACAATTTTGACAATAGAATGATAACAATGGAAACAGTTTGTGTGCCTCTTGAGTGTTGCATCAAGGATGACTGTCTATAAAGTCTAAACCACCAATGATTTGTGCTCGGTGTTTATTGGGGACCAGTTACCATCTTCATAAACAGTTTGCCAATTAGTGCCTTGTGCAATCTTTATTTTTCATAGCTTTCTGAAAAGCTTTATTCATGGTGATTAGTTAATGCTTCTTTTTAAATCCTGTAATTAGTTTACCATATTAGTTTTCAATATAGAGAAAAGCAAAAGGTAGTGAGGGAACTTAACCGATTCTAAAACCTGCTTATTTACATTTTGGGAAGAAGGCGGTATTTTGATGTAAGGAAGTGATGTGGTCATTGGACAGAGTGGTATGGCTTGTTTATAAAGTCAGTCAAATGATAAGATGAAGTTTTGATTTTTAGACAATACTGTTTCTTCCTGTGGGTGAGATATTCCAAGTTCAAATGGCTCCCCGGCTAAAAAATACAAGCCTCTCTGCACATAGCATGCCATGGAGAAGGGTTCAATATTTCCTCCTGCTGTTATACTTTCTATATGCAGAGAGACCTTTGTGTGTGCACATAGAACAATTTAAACAAGCAGTTTCCCACCATTCAGACGAGCAGCTCGAAGGAGTACATTTCAGATAAGGTTGTATAACACCACACTGCTCACTATATAAATGCTTGTCCATTTGTAAAGAATTAAGTGGCTGTCTCCAAACAGCTCTGAGGGCAGTTATTGTGAAACTACTGCCTATACAAAAGATGCTACATAAATGGATAAAGGGGCTCTTTCTCCAGTATTCACTTCATAGGTAGCCATAATACCTTGCACTAGGCTTTTGTAAACAATCGTGGCAGTGGCCACATTAATAAGCTGGAAGATGTCGACATAAGAAAAGCCTCAGTGACCCATCTAGTCCAGCATGCAGTCTGTTCCCATGTGGCTTTATCAGCATAGATTTTAAAGGACCATGGCTTTTTAGCAAGAAAGCTTACTTTGTGTTTTCAAAGCCCAGTAGTAGGATCAGTGCATGGACTTTGTTCTTTTAACACTGTAATTTACAGATTAGTTCTTGTGCCAAGGGCATCTGAGCAGACAAGCTTGAAAATTGCATTCTTCTTCATTCTCCTGAATTGGTTGGACAACAAATTTGTTTCCTCTTGATAGCCTCAAGTTGTGGTTCCATTTCTGGTCTCCTTCAGATAGGGGGTGGGAAGGAAAAGAGAGGAAAGAAGTCAGGAAGCTGCTCTTAGCTGACTGCAGTTGTGCCAGCAACATTTAATCATCTTCTTTCTTGCACTCAGTTTCTGCTTTGCACTTCTTGTAGCCGTGTGTTTCAACACTTGCAGAAGTGTTACGGTGTCTTATGTTGTTTTATAGAATGATGGCTTGTGCTGCCAACGTTGTATTTTTGAACATTTGTTAGTAAACTGCTTTGAACATTTGCAGAGCCGGGGCTCTGACATTCTGGTTCCAGCCTGGTGTCTTGCAAGATGCTGACTACCAGCAGCTCTTGTTAACTGTGAAGAGCTCTTGTTCCTTATCACCCCTTGATACTCAGCCCTCCCACCCCCCCAAGAAAGCCAGACAGACGCTAGCAAAATCCTCAGAGTTAAGGAAGCATCGTAAAATCAAAATACATCAACACACAAATGAGGCTGTGTGAAAATCACTGCAGCAGTGAGAAATGTAACTGCAAGAAAGGAACTGTATTAGCAACAAGATATTAGTTGAAAGCCAGTTTTCCTTAATTATGGTCTTTTAGACAAAGATGGGTGCCCATTTCAGGGTCTAGGGCCACATTCCCTTGGGAGAAAGTGGTTGGGGTCTACCCTGGGATCATACCTTGCAGCACACCCTATAAAGAAAGTAAAAAGTAGGTTATATTGTTATGTTAAAGGGGGAAAGGTGCAGGGGGAGGTGGATAGGTGATCTAGGACTTAACAACACAACTGATTGCACATAATAATTCATTATTGGCTGTCTATCCCTCCCAACTATCAGCACTCCCATTCTTTCCTCTCCAAGATGGAAACTGAAACAGCCATTGAGTATGCTGCACCTAGTAATGTCCTAAGTTAGTTGTTCTCTTGTTTCCCACTTTCTGTGACCCTTCCCTCCTCAACTGGGCAGATGACTAAATACAAGCCCAGCATACAATAAAAAAGAGGACAAATGCAGAGTGACGCAACATGTTCTAAGCAGGAATGCCCATCACTTGTGTCTGTGCCAAAAACGTCGGCTGTTGACCTATTAAGCTCAGCTCTGCTAAGGGGAAACCAGTTGTATGAGAATGGAAGTATTTTTTTATGCCACCCATCCATCATGTTTCCAGGGCAGTTTGCGAAGCTACAGACTGGAGAAGCTAGATGAAGTAGGTCTGGGGTGGATGGCATATTGCTTGTAGGGATACCCTCCTCAGGCCCCTCAGCAAATGTGGGTTAGGAATCTAAATTCATTTATTTATTTTTATTTACCCCCTTTATATTCCAAGGATCTCAAGGTAGTGTACATGGTTCTCTTCCTCCCCATTTCATCCTCACAACAATCCTGTGAGGTAGCTTAGACTAAGAGATAGTGACTGGCCCAAAACCACCCAGTGAGCTTCATGGCTGAGCGGGGATTCAAACCCTGGTCTCTCAGACCACAGTCCAACACTCTAACCATTGTAAATGGTAGAACGCCCTTGTTGAAATGGTTAGTTTACTCTTCATTTGTTTGTGATTTAAGGAAGGGCCATTAATAAGGAAAGCAATTACAAAATTGGCCTTACTTTAAAAGAGTATTTTTTATCATTCTTTCTTCATGTAAAGCTTGCTTTATGCAGACAAGTATTAAGTACATTCGACTGTGAGAGCCTTGTGAGCAAATGGAATTTATTTCAAGGAGAAATGTCCATGTACAGCAAGTTTAGAAATTACTAAAAAAGGAAGAATAGGAGCCCAGGATTATATTTGCAGTGCATAATCCCCCCCCCCAAAGTATGCAAAAATGTAGCAAGGCATTTTTGATCCCTAACAATCTGTGTCTTTGCTGGATCCCCGTACATTGCTTTGAACTTACTGTTAAACTTTGGCAATTGAAAAGCCTGCTGAATCGGAGCTGACTGTGTGTCAGACACTATTTTGATGAGCAGTTCTGTCATACTTGTAGCACAATACACTCTGCCCAGTTTTGTGTTCAGAACAAAATAAAAATAAAAAGGCAGCTTATTCACTATGTGACATATCACTGTTCGGGCAATTAAACACAAAGAGTAGATACCAGCTGTGTTCACAGACCACATTAAACCATAGCTAATGCTTCACTATGTTGTAGGAAATGGGAAAATGTTGACTTGGTTTGGAGGGCTGAGCAGGGAAAGATCAGTCACCTGAGAATTCTACAGCAAGATGAAAGGTCACAACTGAGTGTACATTTAATGGCATATCAGGAAATTTCAAAGGTGTGCTCTACTCACTTTTTGCAGGGTATGTCATTAAAAACATAGCATCCCATTTCAAAGCCTTTCGTTAATATGAGGCCAAGGAAGATTAAAGGTGATATTACTTGATGGTGAGGATACAAAGTGTTGATTCCTAAGTGCATCTTATGCAAAAGCCAGAACGCCTTGGGGCTTTCTAGAGGGGAGACGAGTGTTTCAACTACCATTTAATTATAAAGAAAGAAAGGAAAATTTGAGCTACTTTTTGAAATGCAAGATTTCTAGCAGAATTCATCAACTAGGTCCACGGGGAAAGACTTTGCATCAGCTAAAAAGTTAAGCATTGATAAATTATTATTCAATTGTATTTTCAAAGCTTCGTGTGTGTGTGTGTGTGTGTGTGTGTGTGTGCGCATGCGTGCGTGCGTGCACACACATGCACACAAACACACACACGTGAGTATTGTAGGGTGATGCTTGATTGCTTATACAGCCTGTTCGTTGGTATACCAATAATAGCTACAGACTCTTGTGAATTCTGTTCAGTGAGTGACCAACTTGAATCACGTTTTCAGGTATTATCTACCACTGTGATCTGACCAAAGAAGAACTGGAGCCAAGAGTTTTCCGAGAGGTCACAGTGAAAGGATTTGATCCTTCAGCTTACCAAACAGTTCAGGTGAGTAAAGAGCAGTGATCCTTTCTTACAGATTCTAATCAACTGCTGTAAAAGGCTGGCAAGAGTTGCTGTTGGTTACAATTGATTTGAATTTACCTTTTGGTCGATTTTGCACCCTTACAAGTATAGTTACAGGATGGAGCCCATTAATTGACAGGACATTTTGATCTCATGCTGATGGTGACAGTACCCTGTGAAAATGAATGTGCCACCTGGGCAGACACCCTAAAGTCCATACTTTGTGATTCTGTGGTGTTAATAACAGTAGCTGGTGTTTGCTATGAGTCATGCTGTACTATCCTAAGAGTTTAATCTCAAGTGTCCCTAGCTAATTATAGTGACTTAAAAGGGAATCTGGTGAGACTCCTTGAGAACAGGTACTGAATTTGAAGCATTTACTTGGAATTTCAACAGTGCCAGTGCCAGAGGGACCCTGAGTCTACTTTCCGTTTCCACCTTCCCCAGCAGCTTGGACTGCTCCTTCCTTCTGTTCCCTTCCTGACACAGGGCAGTATCCAACTGAACAGTTAGGCTGCTGCAGCAGCTTTTAAGCTGTGCAGTGTAACTTCCTCACTCTTCCTGTGACACCCCTAAATCTGCTCTAGGAGCTTCCCCAACTCTCTGGAGTAGATGGGGCAGAGACATAAGGCCTGCAGGGAGAGAAGGAGGTCAGGAAGTTACATGGTGTAGCTGAAAAGTCATTGCGCTAACGTAACAGTATGGGTACCATCCCCTCTTTTTTCGGTTATTAACGTCCTTCTGTTGCCCTCCACCTGAAATTCTCACTATCCCCCTCCCCAATTGGAGTCAGTTGCCCACCCAGGGAAATTAGGCTGCCCATCTTTCTCTGCGCCCCACAGTTCCTTCTTCAGCTCTTAGGAGAAGGCTTACTGGCTGAATCCTTGCATAGGTGAAATTATGTTAGAATGAGAATCCATAGCAACATTTTCATGCAAGTTCCACTTGTCATTGGCTCTCAGCCATGATGGCTGAAAAGAACCTTCATGATGCCACACGCCATTGACTGCTCCTTGCTGGAGGGGAGAAAGGAGACAGTGGGGAGAGGGCCTTGCCTCCATGTCTATTTGTGAGCTTGTCTGGAAGCACCTGGTTGGGTACTGTGAGAATGGGGTGCTGGACTAGGTCAGGGACGGAGAGACTGCAGCCACCCATCTTATGATTCCACTGCAGACAGATGGGCAAGAGAGATTATCAAAGGTGCCACCATTGTTCCTTAATACAAGCATACTGTGTACATGCACTTTTGTGACCCATCTTGTGTTTTTGTAAAAAGGACATGGGTGTGTAACTTTAATAAGTATACAGTGTTCCTACATTCAGTGAGATGACAGTAATTGAATTCAAATACCCGTGTAATTAAAGTGTTTCAGTGGGAGGAAAAGCTAATGGGAATTTTAGGTGGAAAATGTTTGTAGAATCTAAAATCATTTCTGTACTTGCCTCAAGTTCCAGTGTTAAAACTACGCAAACGTTTGAAGAATTCAACATCAGTTCTTTGAGATTTGTTTTTGAAAAGGAACCAATAGTTCTGTCTTTTTGACTGAAGCTTTAAAGTCATCACTGATGTGCAATGTCAACATTTTTATGGCTAGGCTGTTTTCAGTACATTAAACTAGGTATCTCTAATAGGACTAAGAATATACTCATGTTGCTAGAACACACAGTATTATTGAGACATAGTATTTCTGATAAGCACAATTAAGCCCATCATTGCTAGCATGGCATATATTAGTAAAGATTAAAAGATGTACTGTGATTCTGTTTTATGTTGATGTCTGTTATTTGAACGCTCAGAAAATCTTTGAATATGTGTATGCGTGTACAGAATTGGCATCACTCTTCCATAAAGCACTGAGAGTAGATTAAACACAAATGTATAATTTGAACAAATTATTCTCAAATACGATTGGATTTTGTGGCTGGGTGGTGGTTGGTTTGTTGTTGATGTTTTTGTTCTTTCATCTGGGTAGAAGAAAGCAACTGAGACAACTGTTTGGCTTTACCTGCTGTGGCAGGGATGGGGAGCTAGATATAAACAGTGGAGCATCCCCAGTAAACCAGATTCGACTGTTGGGTGTGTCCGTCCACCTGTCAAATCACTTTATGTCACAAATCCAACCAACATTCAAAGCACCGACAATGAACTGATATTTGGGTCTTGAAATGCCCAAAATCACTTTGCAAGATCCAAGTTAGCTGACGGTTTGGCCTCGCTTTGCAAGGGGCTATTCTGATCATTGGGCCCTGCAAAGTGTTTTGCAGAAGATTTTGCATGCATTGCCAGTTGTGGGGGGGACGGGGGCGGTTTGTGTTGTTTTTTGAGCAACAAACCATGAACCTGAGTTCAGCTGTAATGCTAAGCCAAACCATGTTCTCCTTTTAACTACTGTTAAGCTTAAATGTGGCTTAAAGAGACAAGCCAGCCAGGCCTTTGAATACTAGTCCCCTACTCCCCATTATTAACACTGTTTTCCTCCTTAAGTTTATGTAGGGACGGAGACAAGTTCGCACGGTTCTGTTTAATTGAGCTTTCCTGTTTGGTATTGTAAATCATTCATATGTTTCTTTAGGTAAAAGCTATGCATTTTCAGCCCTTGTGATGAGCCCTGTGCTCATCATATTTATACCCTAGAGTGATATTTCATCATAGATTACACCTCCAGCTGTTCCAGTTCAGAATTCAGTACATTTATTTTGGCAGGCCAAGATTACAGGTGCTGAAACTGTGTGGTTGAGACCAGTTCAATTGCTCTTAATGCCAGTTAAACAGATACAAAATGATAGGCTCCAGGAATTGTCTGGGCAGTTGTGAACTTCTATTTAAAGGAAAGTTGCATGACAGTGTATTCTAAGGAATAGCATAGATTAAGGGCCATATTGTGAAAATATAAGAATATCAGAGACTTGCTAGATCAAACCAAAGGCCCATCTGATCTAGCATTCTGTTCTCACAGTGGTAAACCAGATGCGTATGGGAAACCCTCTGAAAGGTCTGGGTTGTATAGTGAACTTAGTATAGCTCCTTTCTTACTACATTTAACAATGTAGACTGGAATATTTGTTTATTCAGGAGTAGAAACGAGATTAAAATAATCTTTGCCCCTTACATAGAATTGTATCAGGTACAGATGTGGTAATCTTGACAAGGTTGAGGATGAGTCAGAACTGAATTTAATTGGCAGTTTGTAAGAGAAATTTCTTCACAATTATCTTCCCACACCATTCTTGGATCATGCTATCCTTACTGGTGTGACACTTTGTGAGTATTAAATGTGCAAACTTTTTTTAAATGAAAATCTTTTTTCCATTAAAAAAAATGTACTAACCAAGTTCCTGATTGCCCTTATGGGGGAAAATAAGAGATTCAGATCACAACTTTTAAGGGAGAATATATTGAGGGTTCTTTTTCCTAGTATCTTTCCAAATAAATGGTCTACTGGGATTCAAAATTGCCATGTTCAGTGGTTCTGCAATCTTGCTAATGAGCATCACCCTTAAGATGACTGAAAATATTCGTATTTCAGAAGAGCTGTGCCTTGCTCTGTTCTTTAGGAAGTTAATATTCTGTTGGGAGCTGCCCAGAGTGGCTGGGGCATGAATACAAATAATAAAAGTATTATTATTATTATTATTATTATTATTATTATTATTATTATTATTATTATTAAATTGTTTTCTGTTGGTGTTTCAACTGTACCTTTTAGAGTGAAATGGTTACCTATAGCCTTAAGTAATAGGCATCTGCTAATTTATTTTTAGCTAACTTATAATTATTGGTTGCCCCCCTCAAACAAGTGGTCTGGTTTTACATAGGAAGCTGCCTTATACTGGTGTATGTCTCCTACGTTGTCTACATTGACTGCAAGTGGCTCACAAAGATTTCAGACGTGGTTCTTCCCCTGTCCTACCTGAAGAATGCTAGTGTTTGAACCTTCACCTTCTGCATGCAAAGCAGTTGCTCTACCTTTGAGATATGGCTCAAATTCTAGTAAGTTATTATGAATGCAGGTTTAGGATGCTGCCCTGTATGCTCAGGCTTGCTCTCTGGAGTTCTGCCAAATATGGTAGTTTTCAAGTAGAAATTAATTGTTATAGTGAGAAACGTTTTTCTCTGCCAAAATTCACCTCTTTCCCCCCTCTCAATCCTGCTCGGCCTATCATATCTCCAGTTCAGCTACTTCTTCAGAGAATTTTTTCCCAAGCTGTTACTGCTGCTCCAGTCAGCCTTAATTAGTCCTATGGATGATCCTATCCATTGGAGATTATGCACTCTAATAATACTGTGCGGCCAATTAGATTTAGCCATCACTGAGGGGGGCAAGTGAAACTGAGGGCAATCTAAAATAATGCAAGTCACTAGAGGAAGGCATGCTTTTCAGCAATGCTGAAAATGTGTGCAAAAAAAGAAAAAAGATTGTGAGTACTTTCAGCGTAGTGCTACTTCCATCCATTTGGGAACAGTTGGGATGTTATCTTCTCCTGTTGGCCTTGGTGAAAAATACAGAAGGCTTTGCCTCTTAGTGTGTGCTGAGTGTTTTGCTAGCACAGGAACAAGAAATAAGTTTTCTCTAGAAGAAAATTTATTGGTTAGTGAGTTTTTTTCTTTCTCTTCTTCCCCAATTCCGGCATCTAAGTGCTTCTTAGCCTACTCTTTTCTTGCTGTTGCCTGTTCCTTTTTCTGGGGAAGACCTGTGTTCATAGGCAAGACCTGTAAATGTAGTTTTCCTATTCATATTTCTTCAAGCAGTGCTACGACTTCCATGTCTGTGCCAGTGAACTGGTTCACACATAACAATAAGGCATAAACCATGGTAAGTCATAAATGGATGGTTTACTCTAAGCATGCAGTTTACTGATGCATGCTGTTCCTTGGTGCCCGCCCCTCTCCTCCCTGCGCCAACTGCCAGGCCAGTAGGAAAGGAACCAGAGTGCTGGTTTGGCAAATGGCATTTGCGGTTTGTTTCCTTCAAACCACAAGCAATAAAGCAAACAAGACACTTTGGCTTCCATTCATGGTTTGTTTAGAGACTAGCAAAGCATAAACACTCATCTGCACATAATGCAAAAGAAGATGACTGGTTTGCTTCTTCCCAGTGCAGCACAGGAAGGAGAGAGGGATGCAGTTGAGCCACGGGTTTGTTTTGGACCATTCCTTGCCCTTATGTACGAATAAGACCATTGTTTTAAAACAAATACCAGTAAAAACCCCTGGAGGCTTGCAGCCCAAATTGAAAGTAAGGAAGGACTGGTCACTTCATGAATTGTTGTTGAACATGGTTTTCTTTTCAAACATCTTGAGGCCTGGGGTGCCCAGATAAAATGGAGGATACAGATAATACCAGCATGTGCAGCTTCTCTTATTGTTGCATAAGGAGTTGCACCCACCAAACTTCACTCTTCTGTGCTGCTTTAAAAGTATGAATCTGCTTATCCTGCATTGCAGATGAGATGTCAGAGCACTTTTGTGAACAGGTAATGTTGGGCTGCATACCTGCATGCAATATGCCGTGATAGTTTGGGTAGTATTTCCAATTTCCAACTTGTTTCCAATGAGTAGTGGAAATCTTGACTGATGGGTGAGGACATTGCAATCTGAGGCTTCATTCCAAACCTTCAGATGCCGCTTGTTAAAAGACCGTCCTGAATGGAAGGAGATCTGCTTCAATCCATACCCATTGATCCTATTGCTCTACAAATTGCTTACTACGCAGGAAAAGCTTTTTAATGGCAATTTAAATGAAAGCGTTTCCAGTCTTTAAAGTACTCTGAATAAAGATGTATTTTGAGTTTTACTGTAAGTAATTGAGTTCATCTTTACTCATGGGAAGGATAAAGTCTATTTGTCCTTTCTTCCCCCTCCGGTATCATTTCTGAAATGCAACATGGGTAAAACTTTTATCCTTTTTAATTGTAGTTTTGCAGCTAACACAAACATTGATCTAGGAATACAGATTGATCTTGCCTTTGTGAGTTAACAATCAACACATTATTTCACATATTCCCAAGATAGAGAAGAATTATTTCCTCTTACATTAGCAAGTGGATCTCAATTTATTTTGTTTGACAGTTCAAAATGTTTCATAAAAGTGGCAGAACAAAACACTTGCTGATGGGCATCTGGGTAATTAGGAATATTGCTCTAGGCATAGGATAACCCATGTGGTGCCCTCCATATATTTTGGGCTACAACTCCCATAATCCCCGACAATTGACTATGCTCACTGAGGCTAATGGGAGTTGTGATACCCTCCAGATGTTTTGGCATATATTGTCAATTCCTGCCCTATGATGTCTTTTTATATAAGCTGGAATGAAAGCCTTGTTGCTTACTCTGAGGATCCGCTCTGAGGGTGTATACACCTCAGTTCAGAATTAGACTCCCTTCCTCTTCCACTTCCCCTGCAAGCCAAATCCAAAGGATTAACTGCATCCTAAGCAGAAGAAGCCTTCAAACGAACCCTGGAAATTGTATGTGAGGCTCCCAGGTACCTGGGATTCTGACATGACAACATTCAGGAATGAGATGGGTAGAGTGAGATGCTCACCAGCATGGATTAAAATCTGAGCCAGAAAAGAACTCTTGAAAAAATGATGCTAGAGTTATGATGTCATTGACTATTATGAACATGATTAGTAGTTTGTACTTGGAATTAGAATTAGAATTCAGTAGTTGAAAACTTGAGCGCATCACTGTGAGTTCACTTTGTTCCATGCGAATTGAAGGAGGGTGAATCCAGACTGTTCTGAAACCAGCACCAAAAACATATCGGTAAATGTAGCTAGAATATCACCTTGGTTCTCAATTTTAGAGGAAAAAGTTTCACCTCGACAGTATGGTTTGTCTGAGTGACATAATGTAGTATGTTGTTAGGGGTTTCTTTTGAATTGGTTTTCACAACTTGGATGCCGCATTTAAACTAACAGACATTATCAAAATCCATCTAAAAGTAGTTTTAGGAAATGTGGAGCCAGGGAAAGATAACCTTCTTCCCTAGTTTGAGGGACAGAAAGAGCCATCTTGGGACAGCTACACCTCTGAGCAGCGCAGAAATGGGGTCCTCAATTATAATTTGGTCAACGAAAAGGTCTTTGTCTTGGTTGGAGTTAAGGTGTGTGGTTCCATTCTGGATGGGAGAAGTAATGTATTACGTTGCAAATCCCATTAGAGATCTTTCTTTAAGAGAAGATAAATTATAGATGGGCTTCTTTGAACTGAGTTCAGTAGTGTTATGCCAGTCCAACAAACAGTATTAAATTAGTGTTAGAATCTAGCATAACAGTGCTTCCTTAATAAAGAAAGGTGATATGCTCAGAAGGGTTATTTATGCCTGTTAAAGTAAATTAAAAGCTTTTTGGGTTTTGAAATTAGATCTTAATTGGAAAGTAACAGTCTTTGTTTAGCAGAGCAACTCAAGTTCCAATCATTTGTCCCAGCTGCTTACAAAGTCTTTATAGATGTCAGTTCCCTGCATAGTTAATATAATCCTGCACTTGAAAGAGTTCTATTTATGCTTATATCGTACTGTGCATAAACAGTTTATTGAATGTCTTAAGAATGCCTTCAATTTATGAGTAGGCATCTATAGACAACTATGTTCTCTACATGGTTCACAAAAAAATGTAAAACAATAATGACGCCATGTTGTAATTAAGGAATCTTGAGTACCACCTGCCTTCTCTCTTAGGCTGATGGGAATTGTAGTCCAAAACCTCAGGTTGGGGAAGGCTGTATTTAGGGCTTTCCAGAACTAGGCAGGGCACTTCCTCCATCTTGTCAGGATTCACCTTAAGTTTATTGGCTCATCCAGCCTCTAACCAAATCCAGGCATTGGTTCAGCAAAAACCACAGCTTTGCCTAACTCTGATGACAAGGAGAAATAAGAGCTGGATGTCATCTGCATACTGATGGCCTCGCTTCAAATCCCAGAATGACATAACCCAGTGACTTCATATAGATGGTAGAATGCATAGCGTATAAAATAAAAACTTACAGGACTCAAAGGTTATTTCTTTGCAAAAACACCTCTTACATGTAACTGTGATGATCTCCCATTCAGTTGTAGCTAGACGTTTAAAACGTGTAGAGATTTCATGGTGTTGCCAGTGGTTTGTATCCTGTGAAGTTGTCCTGTTCCTACAAGGATTTCCGTTTACACAATGGAACTTCCTCCCCCCACAGTTGTTCTGGGCTTCCCCCACAGCCATCCAGAGCATATTTGGGGATAAATGGAGAGAAGGGGGGGGGGGGTTGTTGGAATGAATTCACGACAGACGAGTGGCAGGTGTCATATGAGAGGCGTCTGCCGGGGCAAGCCCCGGGAACTCTCTTTTATTGAATATTACAAACATTGCCACCGGTGTGCTTGTGGCTGATTGGTTGATACAAACACAAAGCAACTTGTTGCTGATTGGTTAACATAAGTACAAGGCGGGAATTACATATAAACGTTTATCACCGATAGATTAAAGGCTGGGAAACGGAGCTGGAACTAGACAGGCATGAAACCTCCTAATTAAATTATAACTAAAGATTAATATAACATGACTAAAACAACTACTAATGATTGATCATAACATGAAAGAATATAATAATCGAGTTCCGTAGATGTGGTCAGCTATGCATTAAGAACAGATCATATTGTTTGTTCATGAACTTAAAATGAACTGAAGAATGAGGGAATGTCTTGGTGTTTAGAACAGGTCTGTACAGTGTGTGCAGAAGCAGAGAAAAGATTATAAGCGAGACTTCCCAGAATGCAAGAGAAAAGAAGCAATAGTTCTCATAGCAAGACTTCCCATAATGCCACAGTTATGTGCAGAAAGAGAACTTCCCTTTAGGGGGTTCTGTGGCATAACCAGATGTACTTTTGCAAATGGGACAGCTTTTTTGGATACCCATCCAGTGTTTCTACTTTCAGCATGAAAAATTAAATGAAATCTGGGATGAGTTTTGCAACTTTGCGGTAGAATTAGCTTTGATCAAGGGTGGAAGTTATTATTTTTATTGTTGTCCTGTCATTTCTTACAGCCTGACATTGTTTGCTTGTAGCCATTTCTTCTTCTTCTTCTTCTTCTTTTTATACAGAGCAGTTTTTTAGTATAAAGCACTGGGCAGTTTTTTTGCAGGGATGTTTGCTTTCAGTTTCACCTGGGGAATTTACTAACTTGAGCTGTGAGAAATGTGCCTATGAGTTATTCAGAGTCAGTCACCTTTCTCAGGCTAATTGTTACAGCTTTGTCCTTGAAGCATCTCTCATGAAACTTACAAAGCAGGGTGACTGCAGAAAAACGTCGTTATTAATCTCAACACAACTCCTATTTCCCTTTCCCACTCCTAAGATTAATGATCATAAGCCATAGGTGGCCTCCATTGTCATAGACTGATGTTCTTCTTGGCAGCAGCTACTATACAATCTAATAAATAGGCTGACAACAAAATCACTTTTTCAAGAAAAAGATTGTGATGGTTCTTGAAACAAAGAGTGATTTAAAGAGACTTTTTTTTTAAGCATAACTAATTAAAGGAGAAGCTCCTGGAGAGCAGAAACCACAACTGGATGTGCTTGAACTAGAATCTTCTGTTAGTGCAGAATGCTGTAGCATGTTTGTTAACAGGAGTGAAACCCTGTCAGCATTTAACACCCCTGCTCAGATACCTGCATTGGTTGCCAGTCTGCTACTGGGCCACGTTCAAGGTGTTACTACTGGTATATAAAGCCCTTAACACCTTGGGACCAGTTTGCCTGTGATCACATCTTTACCGCATGCATGCCCACTCGACCACTTTGACCTGAGGAACTGGCACTGCTACAGATGCCCCATACTAACTTGCTCCGTGCTTGTATGAAATACAGGACCACCTCGGGTTACAGACGCTTCAGGTTACAGACTCCGCTAACCCAGAAATAGTACCTCGGGTTAAGAACTTTGCTTCAGGATGAGAACAGAAATCGCGCAGTGGTGGCGTGGCGGCAGCAGGAGGCCCCATTAGCTAAAGTGGTCTTCAGGTTAAGAACAGTTTCAGGTTAAGAATGGCCCTCCAGAACATATTAAGTTCTCAACCCAAGGTACCGCTGTAGATCTTTTAGTGTGACAGCATCCTTGGGAACCCCCTGCCTATTGACATCTGGCTTGCACCTTCACTGTATCCTTTTTGGCAAGTTGACTTGCTTATATCTGATTCCCAGCTAGGAATGGAAACTATACAGTATAAGGTAAAATGTTTCGGGTAGGAGGGGTAGGAATTATCTCTGCATAAGAGGCTTTGGAGTGTCACTGGCAGCCAAGGTTGACACTACTGGGCTAGCTGGTCTCTTGTGATATGGAGAAGATGCTAAAAGGTATTAGCACATTCATTCAATTGTTGTAGCTTCCAACTGGGAAACTGTTAAGAGCACTCAGTGTCAGAGGTGAGAAGATACTGGGGTGGGGAGGAAGAAGGGGATCAAGATTCCAAGCCACAGTTTAAACGACATCCATTATTTATATTGCAAAGACTTCTGTGTGTGTCAGTTATATAGTTCTCCTTTGACACTTCCCCTTTGCTATCGACTGTTGTTTCAATAATTGCCTGCATCATGGCGTGTTCTGGCATTAAGGGCTACTTTAATGAAAGGGATCTGACTTTAATTTCTCAGGTTTCCTAGTAATGCATTCAATGAGACACCTTTTCAAAAAGTATAAGGAATGCTCACTGATCTTCAGTGTGCTCTGCAAAAACTCAAAAAGAATAGAAGTGCAATAAAAGGGCTGCCTTCAAAAGCTTTTGATTAACCCACTTTGCATCAAACCTTTTTGACATTTGATATTTGTGTGGAGGGAATTAAACTATTTTCCTTACTTGGTTAAGCAACAATGGGGAAAAAAACTTTATGCCTTCACTGCAGGATTTCTGTCAGGTTTTTTTTGAAAATTATATTTTCTTCCGTTTCTTCCGCACCTTTTTTCCCTCTCTCCTGGGGAGTTTCTGTCCAGCAACCATTTGCTACTCGACTGCAAGGCTCACTAACAAGGGCTAGAAATTTTTAAAAAGACTCCTGGCACTTTTCTTTTACCAGCATGACACTGCTGCTTCACGTCCCTATGGGTGGCTAGTGAAAAAAAACTTACCTGAAGTCTTCCTTGATTATTTATAATTCTTCTTCTATTTTCTGTAACAGCTTTTCTGACTATATCTAGGTATGTGCCTCCCTTGACGGAAGCCTTTACAGTGGTACCTCGGGTTACATACATTTCAGGTTACATACGCTTCAGGTTACATACGCTTCAGGTTACAGACTCCGCTAACCCAGAAATAGTGCTTCAGGTTAAGAACTTTGCTTCAGGATGAGAACAGAAATCGTGCTCTGGCGGCGCGGCGGCAGCAGGAGGCCCCATAGGCTTAAGAACAGTTTCAGGTTAAGAACAGACCTCCGGAACGAATTAATGACTTAACCCGAGGTACCACTGTATTTACCTGCAGGTTTGGCACCAAGGCTGGCAACATTAGGTCACCTGTTCTTTCATTGGGATAAAGCAGTAAAACAGTCCTTGGGGGTCCATCGTGGTCAAATGAGTATCCAATATACCTGAGTCCTACAGGATAGGTATAAAGCATTGACTTGAGCTGAATTCACACCCCTTTTTCCCTGGTGCTTCTAGATTATTCAGATCAGTGCAAGGAAACTGAGATTATCCCATATTGAATGTAGACAAGATGCATCCTTAATAGGGGACAGATCTGCTATTTTTTGCCATGGAAGGTGGTTTTAAGAATCTAAGAAGAGCCTGCTGGATCGTGTCAATGGCCCATCTAGTCCAGCATCCTGTTCTCACAGTGGCCACCCAGGTGCCTGTAGAAAACCCACAAGCAGGATTTAAGCACCAGAGCAGTCTCCCCTCCTGAGGTTTCCAGCAACTGGTCCTCTGAAGCATCACTGTCTCTTACTGTGGAGGCAGATAATAGCTGTCATGGCTAGTAGCCTTCTCCATAATTTTGCCTAATCCTGTTTCAGAGCCAGCCAAGTTGGAGGCCAGCCCTGCCTCCTGTGGAAGCAAGTTCCATAGTTTAACTATGTGCTGTGTGAAGAATTAAATGATTGTGAAAAAATGCTTTGCTTTGAGGCTACTAGTTGGTTGATTCCTCCTCTTTCTCCATGTCCACTTTCTGGTACTGCGGCTGGCATTGGCTCAGTTTTATTCAATAGCTCCTATCACAGGCATGCATGGAGGCTGTTATGCTGTGCAAGCCTTTGATGCTGATTTATGGAAGTGTTTATTCTTGTGAAAGACTTGTTAAAGCAGGCTGCTTTCAGGGCTGGAAGAGTTTGTCGTCACCTGTTGCATGCAGTGTAACTAAATAATAGATGCTTTGGAAACCTTGTTCCATTTCCTGCCCGCCCCCCCCCCTTTGCATTCTCCGCCCCCACTCCAATCTTTTGAAAGCACCCCCCCCCCCCAGTGTAGCTGTGATTGAGCAGGAGCTAATTTAAGACACTGTAGTGGTGTTTGATTTTACCAACCGTGGGCACAGTGATAAATATACTCACTAAATATCTTGTGGGAGAGAGGGATCGTATTCCTCTTGAAGTTATCTGCTAGCTACAAAAATAGCTCTCCCCTAGTTTTCTGCATGGCTTATTTCAGCAAAGCTGTCTGTGTGTATTTTTATAAAGCATTTAAAAAAAAAAAAAAAGAATATTGCATTCTATTCCTTAATTGCTGGGAAATTTTAGTTAGCAATTCAAGGTGCTCAGTTTAAAGCCCTAAATAGCCTGGATCTTGCCTGCTTTAGGAAACACCTCTTCCTATGTGTGATCCTATTGCTCATTAATATAAGCAGGGGAGCCTCTAGTCTAGGTATCAGTTCCCTGTAAAGCAGGGGAGCGGAATCTGTACCAGCCCCCCAAATGTCATTGGACTTCAACTCCTATCACTCCCAGCCAGCTCAACCAATGGTATAGAATGATGGAAGTTGCTGTCCAATAATATCTGTTCCCCGCCCCTGCTATAAACTAATACTATCTAGGAACTAATACTAACTAGGAACAGGGCCTTTACAGTGGGAGCCTCAGTTCTGTAGTGAAGCCTGCCCCCTTGTTCTCATTTGTTTTGGATTTCAGAGAAACACTTGTTCAAGCAAGCTTTTGGAATATAATCTGAAAACTATCATCCCCCACTCTGCTCCATTCATTCATTTAATTGATTTATATCCACTTTTTTGAACAGTGTCCAAAGTGGCTTACAACAGTGTTTTTCCCCAATGGGTGACTTAAAAATTGCTGATGGCATCTGGTTGGACAGAATACTGGACTCAGTGGTCTGATTTAGCAGTGCTTGTCTTGTGTTATAATTTTTGCATCCTTCAACTTCCTAACAATCAAAATGTTATTTATTTCTATTTCCCATACTTTTCCTTAGTAAATTAGAATGGTTGCCTGTGGCTAAGATCCATCTAAGCAGACTGACTGTACCAATGATACACATATATTTTTTTCTCTGTCCCAGGTTTTCTACCCCAGCAAAGATGGTACTAAGATTCCAATGTTTGTTGTCCACAAAAAAGGAATCAAATTAGATGGGTCTCATCCTGCTTTCCTTTATGGTTATGGTGGCTTCAACATATCAATCACACCAAGCTACAGGTAAGCAGAGATGGGGTGTTTATGAAGATTTGTCAGAATAGTAATAGTGCCAGTAATTTTATGTTAAGAAATTGTGAAGTGTATTATATAGCCTGAATTTGCAGCTAATGGATACTGATACTGAAACTTAAACCCAGTGGAAATACCCAGGTCAAGGGAGTTCCCAAAACATGAGTGATCATTTGCTAATTAAGCAGCCTGCTTTGTCACCTCTTACTGGCTCTTTCCTTCTTTCAGATTTTTGTTGACCACCTTTTGTTGTCTCCTTTAACATGCCTATAGTTCTTATTTTTCGTCTGGCATGACTAGCTTGAAAGTCATGACCAAACTACAAGTCTAATGGTGACACTCCTTTTCTTACATAGATGATCTTTGTGTGTTTAGGAGAGATAATCTGACAAACGCAGAGGGTGCCAACCCTGCTCTGCCCTAAGTAGTACCTCTACACTGCCCTGAGAACTGCTTTGAGCCATAGGTCAAGTATACATTTTGAAAATAAAAAAATAAATGGAGAAAAGCTTCACTTAAATTTCCAGGATGCTAGCAGAACAGTGCTGTAAATGTCACAAATAGGTTCTTATACATCTCCCATGGGGGTGACATTAAGTTGAAATTATTGAATCCTTCCATGCCTTAAGATCCATGCTCTCAGTCAATGATATTTAGCAAAGACAATCTCTTGCTCTGCTGACTTGAATTAAGAGCCACTGTTACGTCTATGCACAACTACTGCTTGCCTGTTATTCTTACCCTTCTCTTCCCTTTATTTCACTGCCATTTACTCCTAAAGCTTTGCTATTTTCAGCGTTTGTACACAATTCTGATTCTTTATTTTTTAAAGCCTTATTATAGTTAACTTGTTTTATTCTAAGTTCAGATATGAAGTTCCCTTTGCAAAGAATTTGGACAGTTTTTTAATGCAAAAGTTCAAGTTTTCAGGCCTCGAGTGTTCCCCCACCAGATCCTTGTGTTCACTTAGCAGCTAAAAAAAGAGGTCAGCCTTTGAAGAAGGGGCTGTTTTCTGGCAGATGGCTCTTAGGTACTCAGTACCATGGAAGAGAACACTTGAAATGAAAACACGCACTTTGCAAGATTCCAAGAACAGGTGACCAGGGGAAAACTATCCTCTCAACATCCCAAGGGCTTTCTCCATATTTTGCTGTCATGTCTTTTATTCAGCAGCCAGTCACTCAGCTATGTACCTTGCAGATGTGACCTGACAATAAAGCCCAAATGAATGAGTCATAAGTCCAGAAGCAGAGAACCAAAAATGCTTTGGTTAAATGGACTTTAAAAAAAACAACACTTGCATAATATATAAGCTTCAAACCTTTCCCATTTTATCACTGAGCTCAACTTTAGAATCAAAAATCATCTCGGTGCATACAGTGATCTTAGTACACATAACAAGCAGTGTGTGCAGCATGTGTGTAAGTGTCTCTCGTGTGCATCGCTGTGTCGCAGACTATTTGCTGCCACATTTATAAAGTCAAAGATCTTTGTCACTTTGGGCACATGAAGCATTAATTAGCAGCTCACCTGTACCTTTCAGTCTTAGTGCTACCAGGTTGGCTCAGTGTAGATGTAGAATGCTGGCAAATGGAGGTGGTGTGTTTGACCACAATGCAGTCTGGGAGAGGAAGCTTGGCCTTTGACCATGCTCACTTGGGGCTGATGTGAGTTGTAGCATCACCAACATCTGGACAAACAAACGTTCCCCATAAGTGGTCTAAGGGCTGGAAGCCAGTGTGGAAATAGAGCTGCTGGCCAATGGAAAACAAGAACATCAAAAGGGCACCCTAGCCTTTGTTTTGAGGGCCATACATATACATACAGATACAGTAATATGCACACTTTTTTTTTAAAAAAAAAGACTCTGGACCAGATTCAGCTAACCAGCTACGTCAGCAGAAGCTTATGCAAGGACTTCTGCTCGTGTCACAGGGCTTCCTCCCACCCTCTACTGCTCCCCCAGTTGGCGGGTATGGTGTTCATAACTACCAAAAAGAAACACATCTTGTGCAGCCAAGCTTCCTGTTGGACTTACTGTGCCCAAGTTGCAGGAAACTATCCAAACATTAGTTGGGTGAAGAAGAAGAAACTGAGATCAGTTTCCTAGAGTCGAGCTAGAACATCTAAATACCTCCTGCCAAAAAGGGATCATTAACTGGCAGGCAGTATCCTGTGAATTAAAATGGCATTAAAGGTTCTGTTCCCTCAATATCACTCATCTTTTGGCTTTTTAAATTAACCTGGCCTGTCTTTTTTGGAAAACTAGCCGGACTCAGGTGTCCAAAGAAGACTGAATAGCATTTAAGACTGCATTCCTGTGACCCCTTGGATAGTGTCCAAGGGCCCATGGGAGGTATTGTGTCTTCCTTCCTCACCACTGCAGAAATCTCTGGCACCCTGGGCCATACATCAGAGCCCCTGACGTCGTAGAATATGCTGTAGGAAAACCAGGAAGTGGCTTAGTTCTAATCCAGCTGCTTGTCTAAATGGAGGCATTGCTGCTCAGTGGCAGATCACCTGCCTTGCATGCAGGTAGTCCCAGGTTCAATCCCCAGCATCTCCAAGGTAGGAGAGAACCTGGTGTGAAATGCTGGAGAGCTGTTGCCAGTCACTGTGGACAATTCTGAGCTAGATGGACCTGTAGAATAAGGCAGCTTCCTATGTTCCTACATCTCTCATTTTTCTTTCCTTCCATGAGAGATGATGGGCTCTCCTTCCCTGGAGGTTCTTAAACAGAGGTTGGATGGCCATCTACCATGCATGATCTTGTTGAGAGTCCTGCATCGCAGGTGGTTGATCTAGTTGACTCCCAGGGTCCCTTCCATTTCTTCGAGTCTATGAACGGAAACATATTCCTCCTCCAGCTACATTTTGAGCATCGTAGGCCAAGCGCTGAAAGTATTTACCAATTAATTGTCTTTGCATATATATATTTGCAGTGTATCAAGACTCATTTTTGTAAGACACCTGGGTGGCATTCTAGCTGTGGCTAATATCAGAGGAGGTGGTGAATATGGAGAGACCTGGCACAAAGGTAAGAGTTCCTTGGTGCAAGAACATATGTAAAGTGCTTTATTCAATAACAGTCTGCAATCCTGGACACATACAACTGTCAGCAGAACTCACTTCTGAGTGTAGTCATGTACAGGGTTGCACTGTGATTGTGTTTCCACAGGTCAAATGTTTGCATGTCTCCATGCTAAACCACTGCAGAGGTCTGGTTTTGTTTTTATTACCTTAATTTGACTCCGGAACACCATCACAAATTTATTTGAAAATGTCCATATTTCTTAATTTACGAAATTTTCTCCATTGCTGCATCAGTTTTGTTCCTCATTATTATTTTAATTGCTTCTGTAGTCTGGAGTGTTTCCCAGTAATTGGGGTTTTCAGAAAGAGAAAACACAGTATTACTGCCCCAAAACAAAGTGCCCTTCAATAACAGGAAATTAGCTGTAGACCTTTAACGAGTTCTTAATTAAGTTAACCTTTATGTGGGAGGGCTCTGGTTTTTCTGTTTCATTTGCACACAAGACTGTGTGTTGGCATTAGGTTGAAGTCTGTTGTTTCTTAAGTGTCATGGGCAGCTATTACTGATATTCATGGAGCTTGGCACTGTGGACTGAGCTTCACCTGGAATGTCCAGGAGACTCCAGACTTATGGCAACCCCTGTCCGAATTTCCTTAAAAAAACAACTCAACCTTTGTGTCCAGATTTTCACTTTTTGAAATATGGCAACCCTAACTTATATTAACCACTATAATTTGTAGAAATTTGCCTTGACTGAGCCACAGTAATTGTTTTCGTGGCTATGATCCAGAAAATTTACTGACTACGTTAGGATGTAATAATAAATTATGGTTTATCATTATGAGAACTTTCTGCAGCCTTATGTACTCTCTCTTCCTCCAGCACATCTGTTAAGGATGAAACTGCAAATCTTTACCTCTGTTTTTGATTAATTTGAACAAACTGTGGTTGTGGCTTTCTGAAATAAGCCAACTTAAAACCCTGATTTATGAAGCTGGCTTATTTCAATAAACCATAGATTAACCATAATAACAAACCATAGATTAACCACAAAAAACTTAAGGATGAACTGGGCTAATTGAAAATAGAAGTGGAATCTTCTGATCTTTTGCTTGCAGTCCTATCAGAGAAGTAGAGACTAGGAAGCAGATGGGTCCAAGGTATTGGTTTGTTCTCGTAGCAATAAACCGTAGTTTACTGCTACATCCTAACAGATCCAACATTGTAATCTTGATTATTTTGTGTGTTTATGTGAAGTATGTATATGAATTCTGTACATCTTGGCTTGGATCAAAGATGTATAAGCAGAACTCCCCATTGCAGCTGCTTGTTACTCCCCAAGCAGCTTCTAAGCATTGGAGAATTTTCCAGAATAGAACAGGATGGGATGCAGGTGCTGCAGGAAGAGAAGGAAGGGCACCTTTTGTGACTCAGTGTCTTCTGCCCGTGCAAGACCACTATGGATCCAAGCCTTTATGCATAATGTCATTTTCTGCCCATGGATTTAAGAAGCTTTATTGTATTGTTATCTTGATGTGAATATGGATTTCACTTGTTTTGAAGTATGCTGTTGTCTTATCAAAGAGGGGTATACTATTGATGAAAATCAAGGGACCTGCCTTGCCCAGTAAAAATTATTTTGTTCCACCTGATTTATTTATTTTTATTAACTTGAAAAAAACCTATCTACTGAATGGAAAGGAGGGAATAAAATGTTTGCTAGATTTGGAACAAGGAAAGGCAGGAGGGTAGGCAAGAAAACAGATCTTGCTGCACGGCAAAAAAGCACACTAGTTCTTAAACATCTCTTCATTCCTATACAATTGTGTCTGTGATAGTGTTGTGCTTTTCTTTGTTTTGATACCTTTAGCTGTGCACCTCAAGTTCTGTGTTGATCTGCGGTAGATAAATGCTAGATCTCAAAAGGAAGATATATTTCTCTAGCCCTGATCACCATATGAATGAAAGATTTATTGTTTTAAGAAAAGCACTCATTTACCTCTCTTTTTTTTGAAACTATTAATTTTATAAGCCTATAAGCTTAAAATACCATAAATGAGCTGGATGCTGTCGATTTCCCATTAAGACAAACCTCAGTCAGAAATGCACGTGACCGTTTTGTCTGCAATCTATAGCGATCAGTTATTAGGAACATTACCTGGTCTGTTCTTTCCTTCCTTCCTTCCCCCGCCCCGAAGTCTTTAGCATAGGTATGTATTATTCAAGCCTTCTGAAAGCATTAAAGGTACTGGCAAGACCATTTTCTGAAGTCTCTGTTGCACGTGATATTCATTATCTTTTTTGTGTTCCTCAACTGCATACATTATTAAAATACTTGTGGAACTGAAAAATTCAATCCAAGCAGTTCTTCTTGTATGTACATACATCCTAGAGTACATGTTCTGAATCGGCAATATCAAAAGTGTGTGTATCTGTGTGTTTTCAAAGGGTTAACTATCTTGTTTTCTTCATTTCCATTTAGGTGGTATCCTGGCCAATAAGCAAAACTGCTTTGATGACTTTCAGTGTGCAGCTGAGTATCTTATCAAAGAAGGGTATACTTCTCCAAAGAAACTGACTATCAATGGAGGTTCAAATGGGGGTCTCTTAGTGGGTAAGAAGAGGCTGTCTGCTTCCTTTTCCTTTTTAAAAAATGACAAAGCTAAGTGAATTTAATGTCATGTAAATGGAGGACTCAGAGGATAAGCTCTGGAAGGACGTTTCCCTCCCCACACAAGTTGGACATTGCACCATTTGTTAACAAACTGAAGTAATTAGTGCAATACCCAAATATTGTCAAGGCCTGCAGAATACCAATTGGCCATTTAAGAAAACATCTGCCTTTATGAGCTGCACACATAATTACTGCGCTGAGGCATCTGTCTTTTTCTTCCTGTAGGGTAGAACTGACTTCATACAAAACACTTTTTCATTTTAGTTAGGGAAGGAAAGAGCAAATTCATATCAAAAAATAGCTAGTCAGAGCTGACTTTTGCATCACTAGTTGCCACTAAATCTGTTTCAGCCCACACTCTCCTATTTTGAAGTATTTTGTCCTTACGTTTATCCAGGACCAAAGTCTTGATACGGCAATGGTAGATTATCACCTGTTCCCCTTTTCATGCACAGTGGAACACTGTGTTCTTTTTTAAAAACAAAACAAAACAAGTGGCTCTTTGCTAGAACAGCACATACACAACAGGCACTAATTGGATTTAAGCATTACAGTTTAGAGTTCCATTCTCAGTTTTTCTTTATTTCTTATGGGTCTAACTGCATAGTCATGGAATCACATTTGAAATGTGACTGTAGCATATATCCCAAATCCACACAACCTCACCATTTTTAAGCCTACGGCAGAATTTTTAGGGCTTCATTTAGAAAACAGTTCCAAAATTAGTGTGACAAATCTCTTAATACAAGAGCCTTATCTCAAAACAGTCATCTTTTGCCAAGTCCGTCTCCTTCCCAAAACCATGTTGATGGTACCAAGAAGTCTGTTCCCCTTCCACCTGAGACATTCATAATCTTAAAGTGTATAATATTCTTTGTGATAAGGCATGAATGCTTCCCTGGAGCTGTGTATAACTAGGGACTGATTCATAAGAAGATACTGCTAGATCGGGTCAATGGTCCATCTAGTCCAGCATCTTGTTTTCACAGTGGCTACCCAGATGCCTGTAGGAAACCCACTGCTCACACAAGTGTGTTTTTCTTCCTGACCACCCCTGCATTCCATCCCATTTTGAGAAAATTAACCAATCTGGGACTGTCTCAGGTTTTTGTTTTAATTTCAGTAAAACAGAGTCTGTGTACTGGCGTGTTTACCTCATGAATTCTTGGTCTGCAAAATGGCTTGTGGGCATTTAGATCTGCTCTGACACTCTCCAATATTTGGACGTATCAGTCCCCCGGAACCTGAGCATACGGTTCCAGTTAAATTATTTACCAGCCATTGAAAATGTCTGAAATCTTGGAAGGCCCTTAACCCCTCTCTTCTCAGTAGACTTGCTTCTCTAAAAATGCTGCATTTCCTTAATCTTTTGTTTCTATTTCAAGTTCATCCTCTTCAAGTCCTTGGGAAACACAAATTCTATTTAATAATAGCCTCTTCAAATGGCTGTTCAGTGTCGATGCTTCACTTGTTGAGCTCAGCATACAAAAGGCAGCACTGATTATCGGCACTGCTTTGGACTGACTCCACAGAACTTTGCTATTAAAGTCAATAGGGTAACAACTGGATGGCCAAACACATGAAGTTTGACAACAACTGGAAAGCCACATGGTCCCCATCCTTGGAACAGATGGAGGAAGAGTTTGCACCATCCCGCAGTTGCTCCTTGTCTGCATGAAATTGCCCTTCCTTCCTTTAAGTTCAGCAATGGCCCCATTCTAAAACATGCAGATTTGTTTTTGTCATAAAGCCAGCTTCATGGATTCCAGTTCCCCACAGAATGGAAGCAGGTGTTCCTGCATCTCATCCTCTTTCCCCCCTAATAAATTTCTGCCTTAGTGCTAAATCAACAAACTGATCTGTGCCCATGCAGGTTTGCCCTTACATGTTTCAAATGTTGACATCCTCTGATTGCTATCTTTATAACTGCTACTTGTAGATATTAGCACTGCTAGCTGCTTTAAACATTAGATTCAATTTGGGTTGGGTGTGTTTTCCTCCACTCTCCAGCTGCCTGTGCCAATCAGCGTCCTGATCTATTTGGCTGTGTTATTGCTCAAGTAGGAGTGATGGACATGTTAAAATTCCACAAATTCACCATTGGTCATGCTTGGACAACAGACTTTGGCTGCTCTGATTATAAAGAACAGTTTGCCTGGCTGTACAAGTAAGTTAAATTTTGTTTTGTTTTTCCTAGTTTATATTCACCACTGCCTTCTTAAATAACAATAATATAGAAGCTGCTTGTTTCCCACCCACCCCTTATTTTCTCTCAATAATTGAAAATCACATCATTAAGTGACATCATAAATCCAGGATGCATTCATTTATACATTATTTCTTGAGTTCAGTAAATTTCTCACATGTAGATAGCTTAGCTTGCAATTCTGAGTACATTGACCTGGAGATAAACTCTGTATGATCAGCAGAAATTACTTCAAAATAAATGTGAAAGGTATTCCCAATATGTTAGAAATGCAGCTAACATTTTAACTCCACTTAGTTTTACCATGGGGAGGGGGTGTTTTTTGGCTACAACCTTTAATCAGCTATGAAAGCCAACAAAGTGTTCTGAACAGCTGGTGATCATAAGCAGTTTCCCCTTTTGAGATGTGGTGATCAGAACGGAACAGAGTTTTTGAAATGTGGTCTTGCCATGGTACCCCTGCCCGTACGGGCCAGTCTTGACAGACTCTAGGGTTGTGCGCTCATCTCACTCTAGAGGCCGGGAGCCAGCGCTGTCCGCAGACACTTCCGGGTCACGTGGCCAGCGTGACAAGGCTGCTCTGGCGAGCCAGAGCCGCACACGGAAACGCCGTTTACCTTCCCGCTAGTAAGCGGTCCCTATTTATCTACTTGCACCCGGGGGTGCTTTCGAACTGCTAGGTTGGCAGGCGCTGGGACCGAGCAATGGGAGCGCACCCCGCCGCGGGGATTTGAACCGCCGACCATGCGATCGGCAAGTCCTAGGCGCTGAGGATTTACCCACAGCGCCACCCGCGTCCCTTGGTCTTGCCATAGAGCCCTACAATAATGGCAGTTTTTATTTCCAGTGTCATTTCCTAGCAATCCCTGGAATAGAATTTGCCACTTTAACCCCCAAGTTAACTGCCCTGTGTACGCTTACATCCTCCTCTTGTTCTCAGCCATATACACACACAAAAGGGAGGAGGCGGAAACTACCATAAAATTAAAGGAGTCCCTTTCCTTTCAACCTTTCCTGCCAACTCTTGGATTGGAATGAGTATATGTCAGTATGCCTTCCTTTTCTAGATCCAGATATCCCATTCCTCAACAAGAACTAATTCTCAGAGCACTAGCACATAACTTGGGTGCTTAAACGTTTGCACTAGCTGCCCATGCGTCACCAAGGCCAGGTCAAGGTTCTTGCATAAATTTACAAGGAGCCTAACAACATGGCTCCAGGATATCTTAAGGGCTGCCTTAGCCATTATATCTTGGCCAAAACACCGAGATCTTTGGGGAGATCTCTGTTGGTGGTCCTCCATGGCTCAGATGCACAGCTCAATATAGAATTCGTTCATATAGTGTGATGGGCCCAGGCCAGTGGAAAACCTCCCCAGCTGAGATTAGTCACCATCCTCCTTGCTCAACTTTATGCAGGTGATGAAGACTTACCGTATTTTTCGCTCCATAAGACACATTTTTTGCCTCCTAAAAAGTAAGGGGAAATGTCTGTGCATCTTATGGAGTGAATGCCTACAGACGACGATGGCGGGATCCCGCTGCAGTGGCGAGCAGACGATACTTCCTTCCCTCCTCATTTTAAGATAGCATTCAGTTTTGTGATAATTGGCCTGTTGTCTCATTTTTTGTGGTTTGTTTTTATGTTTTACACCACTTACAAATGCAAATAATTAGACGGTATAGAAATGTCTTGAATAAGTCCATTATGTTCCCAGCCCCTAGGATTCCTTATTCTTTTCCCACTTTCCTGCCAACTGGTAGCATTTTATCAAATCTCCAACAAATGTGTGTCCCTCTAACAGGTATTCTCCACTCCACAATATCAAAATTCCGGAAGGAGAAGGAGTTCAGTATCCTGCCACCTTACTTCTAACAGCTGATCATGATGACCGTGTGGTGCCTCTTCACTCCCTGAAGTTCATTGCTACTCTACAATATGTCGTAGGCCGAAGCCCCAAGCAAACCAACCCACTACTAATTCACGTGGACACCAAGGCTGGCCACGGGGCTGGGAAGCCCACAGCCAAAGTTATAGAGGAAGCATCTGACATGTTTGCCTTTATAGCAAGATGCCTAAATCTCGAATGGATAGAATAGGCCGTTACTGTCTCAGTTAAATCAAGGGCTTGAACAACCTTTTAAAACTATACAGGAGCACTTGGTGTAGTACTTACATTTAAGAACTGCCACGCCCAGCTTCCCATGAACTCTGTCTCTCTTCTGCTTCTGTTCAGTGTTTACTCTTGGCTCTTCATTTTAGTTCCAGTCATACCTTTTAAATAGCATGTTTGGATAATTAGGCAGATTGCAGATGACGCTGTTAACGTGAATTCTTAAAAGTCAAAGGTGTTGGTGGTGAAAAGGTTTTAATGTGGTTTTTCTCCTTGTAAACATATCCAACGCTCTCGTAATTAAATGTAAGTACTGTTCCAGTATAGACTGTAAACTCGTATTTTCTTTACAGCCACGACGAGTGTTGGGATTATTGCCAATGCCTCTCCATTAAAATAACTATATTACAAATGCGGAGTAATTTCAGGTTGTGTGTCAGTTCTTTTAAAGGTCTGGCTTTTATGCAGCACTGCTTTGAATCAGTACGCAGTTGCATTGTTTCGCACAGTGCAATACACTCACACCTCTTTCCTTTTAACATCTATTTTTAACCAGTCTTGTTATCTATAATCTCTGGGCTGTTACAATTAAAAGGAGGTGCTGCAAATTGAGTAGCAATGCAACTGGAAGAGCCTCTGCTTCTCTTGGCTGAGTTCAGGCCTTTTCTCAGAAGATAAGAATTTGCCCTAGTTGCCTCAGACCATTGATCCATCTAGTACAGTGTCGTTGGCACACTATTGTCAACAGCAGTCCTCCAGAGGTTTTTTTCCAGCCCTTCCCGAAGATGGCAGGGGTTGAACCCGAGACTTGTGTGCAAAATAGATACTCTGCCATTAAGACATGGTCTTTTCTCAAGATATGCCTAAGTTATACAAACTTAAATGCTAAATGAGAAGATCAGGCTTTCCCTTTAATATAATGAAATATTTTTCAATGTCTGATATACTCTTGATTGACAAATAGTAAATGTTTTTCTCTACAGTAAAATCTTGATTTGGAAATGTCATCTGTCCAAGGCAGGGCACTGTTTTTTCTTTCCTTTTGTTTGAAATACCAAGGAGGTAAATAATCTTTGGAGGAAGAGAAGTGCAAAAAGAAAGGAGGATTGATTTGCACCTGCCATTTCTTCTGCTTTCTATTGTTCTTTATAGAATATGCTTGCAATAATGACACATTATGACCCCATAACTTTAGGTATGCCAGAACTAACCCCCACCATGGTCACATCAGATATGTCGTAACTGTACTGACACACTAGTGCACTGCCATACCAGGTCCGCTGTGTTGTCACTTTCCACCAGCCAAAGTGAGTGGAGATGGTGGGGCATGGGAGGAGCAGAGTTAAGCAAAATTCTGTACACCCTGAACAATACTGGCAAAACTTACCACCAGCTACAGAGCTAATGTAAAGGAAATGTCCGCCATTCAACTCAATGGAAACGAGGAAAAAGGGGAAGGAAAAGAAAAAAACATCCCCTCTCCCCTGCCTCTTGTTCCACCCATGTCATATGCTGTTGAATCAGTCAACACCCGATTTCAGTATACCACCAGTACATAAACCACACAGAGAGACACCATAACTCCAGATAGTGAGATGCATTGACCTATATTTATCCAGCTTCAGATCATGCACACTTAGAGCACACAAGGGTGATGGGACACAGCACTTGCCAGGTAACCAAGTGAATTTGAAAGTTTATCTCCTGCAACCGTCTGCTCCTCCTCGTAGCTGTATGCGAATGCTGTGTCTTGTCCAGGCTCTGGCTGTAGCCTCCCAACAGCTGGGAGAAGCAGTGGTGTAGCGTGGGGGTGCAGGGGGGGCCGGCCACACCAGGCGCAACATCTGGGGGGGCGCGCTCGCACTCGCAGCTCTCTGCCCCTACCTGGCTCCACGGGTTAGGGGGCGCAAATTACTTGCCTTGCCCCGGGTGCTGACAACCCACGCTACGCCACTGGGGAGAAGTGTCTCTCTTCAAAGCGTATGTACTTGCCATGCTATGCAGGTAAGTTCCCTGGGAAGACCAGGCAGTCTACTCTAACCATTACCACTGCCAGTCAAACACTCAATGAGCAACTTTTCCTTGCAGGTCTGTAGCCTGCACACAGAACAAGCTATCCCTTCGCCGCCGCCGCCCCCCCAAAAAAGATCCAGTGCAACCCCTAAGGGGAAAGGGAGAAATATGCTGACAGTTACTGTGGTTTCCTCCTCCAAAACTGCACCACGTTTATCTCCACAATTTGAGACATCATCTCCATGACATCACCACACTGGATGTGATTGGTGGGCACTGGCAGTGTTGCCATGGACATGGGGTGGGAGGTTGTAGCTGTTGCCACTCAGCTTTTCAGAGCACTGTGACTTCCCCCACCTGTTCTGGGCTGGATGTGTGTAGGATATGGCAGCCATATTGATAGAATATCTCTCCCCTTGATTTATTGGGGTATTGGAGTGCCTGTGCCTGTTGCCCACCAGCTAAAAATAAGACTTCCTCCTTTTGTGAGGAATGATTATGCATTGACTGCCAGAATAGATACAATAATGCTGCGAAACAATCAACCTTCGAGCACCATTTGATCTAAAGCTGACAACAATACAACTGTGGTTTACAAGCAACTTCATTTTTATATACTGACACGATCCTTTTCTCTGCAAAATCTCAGATGTTTATCTCCATGGAAAATCTAGACCTTTCATATTTTATCTCAAAAGAAAGAAATGGATTGTTAGATCTTAATATTCAAATTTTTGGAGTATGATACTTATTTGTCTCTGGAACATCCAGGCCACTTACTAACCTCTAAGAAAACCAGAAAGTCACGAAATATGTTAGTGATCCAAGATATGCTACCACAAAGCACATATACAACTCTTTAACACCCAGTCCACCATCACTTATCTTGCCTTGTGACATGGTAAGGTTCTCTTTACCATTTGGTAAATGTTTTTTTTTTTTTACCATTTGGCATGATTTTTAAAAAGTCTCCAGTGGGGTCAAGGAGTTTGCTCTGGGACCAAAGGTGGGCAAACTACCCCAGAAGGAACATGGTCTCCCCCCCCCACCAGAGCCACTGCCCCTCCCCTAGCACCTTCATACACCTCAAACAGTCATATCATAAAAACAACACTAGAAGCAGGAAACCAGCTAGGGAGGCAGTTGGATGACAAAAGAGTGAAAAGTGTGCTAAAAGAAGAAAAGGAAATTGCCAAAATGACTACATTAATTGCTGTGTCAGTTTTGTCCTCTGGCCCTGCCCACACCAGCACGTCTCCCTCAGAAGGGAATGTGGTCACTGGGCTGAATGATGTTCCCCCACCCCTGACTTACAAAGTAGTCGTTCCGTGCCTGCTGCTCTTAAGTTACCATTTGACAAATGGTGATCTCTAGCACATCCAGGCCAGCCAGCTGTGAAGAGCATTAGCCATTTGTCTTGCTACTTTACCACAAACTGAGGGAGCTTTTCAGAATGTCAGCTGGCAACACTTAAATGAAGAACAGCGCTTTCTACTTCATTACCCTTTTTACATTACTTCCTAGCATGAGGCAACTTGTCATATCGGTAGCAAATAACAAATGCTGTTTTAATGGGGTGGTGAAGATGTGTCCTTTTCTCTCCCTCCACCCCAGCATTTTCTCTCTAAAGCAACTGCCTGATATTGACGGAGTTACACTCCCTCTGAAGGAGCAGGTTCATAGCTTGGAGGGGGCGGCTTCTGGATCCTTTGCTGTCAGGTGGCCTCAGTGGAACAGAGTGCCTTCCATCAGCTTTGGTTGGTGGCCCAGTTGTGCCCCTATCTGGACAGGGATCTATAAAGCCTTAAACGGTTCTTCTTAGCCTAAAGAGTCCTAAATGTGCATTGGGAAGATGGAAATGGTTGTTGTTGTTGTTAGTAATAATAATAATAATTTATTTTAACTAGAGAGTTTTAAATATTATTCAGAAATGCTTTTAAGTGGTATACAAAAATACAACATAAAAACCAGTAAAGGCATATTATAAAAACAGAAATGCAAGTGACAATCTTACATGTCAGAGAAATAGGTGGTGATTAGTAATAAACAACCTAGTATAATTGTGTAACTGCTATTTAACTTTAAAAACACCTTTCTTATGTGGAGGAAGCTTGGTGTGCATGAAAAACACCTGGAAATTGCGAGAACTCGGTTTATTTCTTTGCTTTTACATTTACATTCCACCTTTTCATGTGGAAAATGGGCTGACATACATGTGCTCCCATGATATTCAGGGACCAAGGCACTGTGGTGCCAAGGCAGCTTCCTTCTTGCAGCACCATGGAGAGCTCCTTGTGGGCCATGTGCTCCAAAAATGGTTTGATGTGAAATAAGGTAGTTTGAGCCTCTGGCTCCCATTCACCTCTCCTATGCCACACCTCCTTTTGAAAAACTTATTACAGGATCAACTGTTGTGTTACCTGGCCTCCCACCTGGTGCATCCACCGTGCCATTGGAATGATGAGGTAGTATGGAGGCCCTCAGTTCCTTAGGCCCAGGGAAAGGTGCTCTTGGTCTTTGTTCTGGTCCTACATTACTCAATGCTGCAGAATTTAGTTCAATAGGTTACTGCTTGCTGGCTTCATATTTGGTGTCCTCTTCTCACCAAGACTCAGAACAAGAAACCCAGTCTGACCTGTGACATGACAGATGCCAGTTCAGTGTCCTGATCACTGCTGGACCAGCAGTGTCCAAAAGAATAAACCGTATGAGAAGAATTTTTGACACTGCAACCCACGTGGGAAAACTGCTTGTTTTTATTTTATTTATTTGTTGAATTTATATACTACCCTATACCCAGAGGTCTCAGGACGGTTCACAAAATAAAATCAAAATATAAAACCACAAATGCATAATCAAAATAAAAACAACCCAATAGCAGCATTTTAAAAGGGCATATGTTGTCAATCAAATCAACCAAAGGCCTGATTAAAAAGGAACGCTTTTGCCTGGCGTCTAAAGGTGTATAATGAAGGTGCCAGGCGAACTTCCCTGGGGAGAGCATTCCACAGATGGGGAGCCACGGCAGAGAAGGCTCGTTCTTGTATTGCCACTTCCGGACCTCTCAAGGAGGAGGCATACGAAGAAGTCCCTCAGAAGATGATCTCAGAGTCCAGGTAGGTTCATATGGAGAGAAGCAGCTTGTTGCTGGCAGATCCATTCACACAATGCTTCTGTTGTCCAGTTAACTGGATATCCAAGAGTTAATAGGAACAGGCTAGTTCCTAAGCCCACTCATCCATTTTTCTATAGTCAATAAAATGCTTCTCAGATTATGGAATGTATGGAGACCAAGAGGGTTCCCCCTGTTTCTCTTCAACAGAAAGCCTGCCCACGATCCAGTCCTCAGAGCAATTTCTTTTAAGGGAATGTTTGATGGCTGACAGTAGTAGTGTGCCAATGTGCATGCCTGAGAGACGCCAGGGGGTATGATTGTCTTTTCAAGTTGGCTGCTCTGATAAGCTGTTCTCTCTCCGCTTCCTCCTTACAAAAAATAATACACCATAAGGTTCAGAGAAAGAAATACGCTCCAAGGAAAAGCTGACAACTCTTGTGTTCACTCTGAATCATATTCCCATTCACGCACAAGCCTTTTGTGTATTCATGATTGACTCTGAGTGGGAAGCCGGTTTCTCTGATGCAGACATTTTAAAACAAGTCAGTCCAAGCTGCCAGCAAAAACATAGGAAGCTGCTTTAAATGAGGTGATGCTCTTTCTTCTTCTAGCCTGGTACTGTTTTCTTTGATGGGTGGTGGGTCTCAGGCAGAGAGCTCTTTCCTTCTACTGGGCATGCTAAAAACGGAACCTGGAACATGGAACATGTATTCACATCATGTTCCCTGTCTCCAAGTTATCTACCTCTTCATGGTTTTAGTATAGCTCTCCAAAACAATATGACACAGAGGTTTTGTTGCTGATTGGGGATCAGTGTTGTACACACAAGATGCACTGAATGTTCAACATGAAGCT